GATGGCTACCCAACCCTGTGAATAAACAAAAACAAGCGTTGTACGAAATGTGAACTGCCCTGGGTGGAGCTGTGTTTAAAACCCGGAAAACAGAAAGTCATGGAAGATAGATGGGGGAATAATCTATCCAAGGAGGCAGCAGAGCCACTCCGAGAGTGGAACTGGCTTTAGCCAGCTTGCAGGAAGGCAAGAAATTGGGTTGGGGATTTGGTGAGAAAGGAGACTAAGGACAGCTGAGATCTAGCATGCAGCAAGGAGTCAGGCAGTGAGGAATCAGGCCGTGAGGACGTTGTGCACCAGGCTGAATGTTTTCATTTACCTGTATTGGAACTGTGGCCTTTGCTAAGCCTTAACTGGAGAAGTGCTATCTGTCTCATGCTTTGAAATAATTGCCACGCTTCCTGCACGGCAGGCACATTCACAGGATGGGAGGAGCACCAGCAGGGCGAATAATATTCCCCCAACAGCTGGAATGGATGCCTTGGCCCTCAGCTCCACCTCTGGGCTCTTCTGTGACTGCAATGGCACCTTGGCAGAGGGTGAGAAGTGGAGAACCCCAGGCTCCAGCACTAACCCCAGGGCACGCTTCTGTAGCATCCTGAAGCTCACCTCACCTCTGCTTTACAGAACCTGGAGTATTCACACAGGAAGGTAGGACCATAAGAAAGGACATGTTCAAAGGACAGAGGTGTTACCTTTCCCAGTCTGCAGTTCCTCTGCCTTACCCCATCTCAATCACGGCTCACTGTTCAGACCATTCTCTCTCTGTCTCTGTCTCTGTCTCTCTGTCTCTCTGTCTCTCTGTCTCTCTCTCTCTCTCTCTCTCTCTGTGTTTTAAATTTAATTTTCTTTTGTGTCTACGAGTGTTTGTCTGAATGTATATTACTTGTGCTCATAGAGGCCAGAAGAGGGCATCAGATCCCCCAAACTGGGGTTACAGCTGTTTAGAACCTCCATGTCAGAGCCAGGAACCTCCAAAATGCTCAGTCATATCTCCAATCTGAGTCCCATAACCATTCTTAATTACATCTATCTTTTTTTCCATTTAAGAACGAAGTCACAATATGATGTCTGGAACCTACAAGTGGGAAAACACAGGACAGATCTAAATCTGTAAATTCTGTAGAGCAGGCAGCATGGAGCTGTACCTCGTGGTTAAAAGCACAGCTGTTGGAACCGGGTAAATTCTGACTTAACTGCACACGTAACAACTTACTGAGTTCTAGTGTATAGACTACCCATATAGTCTAGACTACCCATAGAACTAGCGATAGACTACCCATGCTCCAGTGAGTGTTCAAATGAGCTCTTTAGGATTAAGCAGAAAGGACAAGAAGCTGGATCAAGTTCTAAACTCAAGGTCTCTCTCTGGAGATCTATCTCCTCATTGAAGTTCCACCTCCCGAAATTTGCATCACCTCTCAAATGGTGGTCAATGTTCAAATACAGAAACCTATGGAAGGCATTTACCTCCTAAGACATAACAACAATCTAACCAACAAGATCCCCCCCCACAAAAAAAACCCCAAGAAGTTCATCCAAGTACAGGGAAGGGAGGTTAACACATCATAAATGTTTGCTTTTCTAGAAAATGGCTTTCTATAAGTATCTTATCTTCTTTGATAATTGCCATATAAAGACAAAACACTCAAAGACTTCCATAGCAAAAAGCCTGTCTATTCCATACAGGTCATGTCCCTGTTTGAGAAAAACACATTGCCTCCAATTAACCACCCTGTGCTTGGAATGATATGATGGGGAGAGCTTCTGAGCCTCTGAACCAGGCAGCTCTGCTGTACCTCATGCAGAGTGCAGAACCCATGCCTTCCAAAGGGGGGTCAGTCACTCTGCACTAAACTCTGGTGGCAGAGGTGGGCTGGTGAGATGGTTCACTGAAGAAAGGCACCTGTTGCCAAGTCTGATGATCTGGGTTCGCTTCCCAGAACTCACAGGGTGGAAATAGAGAACCGAGTACAATAAGTTATTCTCCGGCATCCACACAGGATGGTCACAGCATGCCTATGATCCAACCCCAAATAAATTAAGATGGGGTCTTCTGTTTGCTTATTTGTTGCTTGTTTGAGACAAGGTTTCTCTGTGTAACCCTGGCTCTCCTGAAACTCACTTTATCGACCAGACTGGCCTTGAACTCAGAGATCCAGCTGCCTCTGCCTTCCAAGTGCTGGGATTAAAGGTGTGCTCTTGTAGCATATGATTTTAAGCTGTGTTACATTTGCTTATGCTCTGGAACGTTTGTTTAACAATGTAAAAAGTGTTGCTCTTGTTTCTGCTGCATTTGTTTAACTCTGTGAAGCTGTGATTCTTTGCCTGTCTCACATACCTGACGGTCTAATGAAGAGCTGAACGGCAGGAGAAAGGCCAGGTGGGGCTAGCAGACAGAGAGAATACATAGAATAAGTAAATAATTAAAATGTAGAGAAAATAAATAGAATAAATAATTAGAAGGAGAAATCTGGGAGGGGGGAGCAAGAGAACAAGGAGAACCAGGAGAGAGGACGCTAGGGGCTGGCCACTGAGCCAGCCAGAGTAAGAGGGTCAGTAAGATGACAGAAGCAAGAAAAGGAAAAAGCCCAGAGGCAAAAGGCAGTCGGGGTAATTGTTAAGAAAAGCTATTAAGAAACAAGCCAAGGGAAGGCTGGGCATTCATATGAAAGAAGAAGAATCTGTGTGTGATTTATCTGGGAGCTGGATGGTGGGTCCCCAAAAGGGACAAAAGAGCAAAGAGGAAAACCAGCAACAGCATGTGCTCCCACATCCAGCTGCAAATGTTAGTTAAATATAGAGCTATCACCACTGATCATCACGCCCGGAAGAGGATAGCTAACCACACGTGATGCAAACAACCACTGTCTCTAAGCAACTTGGTACATCAAAATCTCCCCATAGAACTATTTTGATTGAAATGCGCTTTGCTTCCTAAATGTTTTAAGAAATAATATTTCTCATTTTCCCTCTACAAATTAATATATATGACCATAGTGGATTACTAGTTTAATTTCTAATCTTCAATCTTAAGAGGAGAAAAGCCCCCTCTAGAAGAAATTGGCAGGGCAGGAAGGTCCAGGGCTGCTTAGTAAGAAATGACTGAGCATTCAGCCAGTCAGGTCAAGCTCCTTAGGAATAACCACATGGAGCTAGAGAGCTGGCTCAGTGGATGAGAGCACTGGCTGCTCTTCTAGAAGACCCAGGTTTGGTTCCAGCACCTACATGGTAATTAACCACCACCCATAACTCCAGGTTCAGGGAATCCTCTTTGGCCTCCGTGGGCACTGCACATACATGATGACCAGATAAGCACGCAGGCAAAACCACCCACGTAACATAAAATAAAAATAAATGCATCTAAAGACCAATACTACTACAACTTTGGGTAAAGTCTGAGTTTTTTGCAGTAGAACATAGTAAAATAAATGAAAGAAAATAATGAAGTACATCCATAATTATGTAAACTCACACTCAAACTGTGGTATTTTTAAGTAAAAAAAAGTATATTTGAGATAAACATCATAAAACCAGAACTTTGTAGTTGCCAAGTTTTACATTGCAAATTTGTTTGTTCATTGATGAAACTGTAAAATAGAAACACCATACTGACAGAAGTGGATGTATAAAAACAAGGAAATGATGGGATCATTTATGAAAGCCTCACAGAAAGCCTCTAGTTCCGAATGCTACTCTCCCATGATTAGTGGATTAACATGTCGGCTTTCTGGGCTTACCTGAGTACATACATCTACTGTGTACGGCAGACATCAGTGTAAACATTACTTAGCATAATTAATTATTAAGCAATTGCTTCAGCTCATCTAATGCCTTTTAAAAATGCTTTAATATACATGAAAAGTAAATAATTACATATACTTAAGGATAAAACTTTGCTGCTCAAATATCCAAGTATGTATTTAGTTATTAACTTAGAAAACACCTGCTTCGTATGTGAAAGTAGCTCAGAATCAAGGCCCTTGATTAAATGTAGTCTCCAACACTTCCCGGAAACTTCGGAGCCTCAGAACTGACTTTAAAACTCTAACTTAAGGCAGACTGGCTAGTAGATTCTGAGACCTAGCCAGAGCAAAGCATCTGGTATCAAAGACTAACTGCAGAACAGTAACCGATTATTTTTGTACATTCTTTTAACAAACTGGTCCTTTATTCGAAATTGCAAATGTAAGTGATATTAAGAGCATGCAGACATGGGTCCCAATAAAAATGGAATTTGGAGAAATTTTCACCTAACATAGAGGGGCTATGTTGCTGTTGGATTTCTGCCTGGGTGTGGACTGTGGCCACACATCGACAAACTAAGCTTTTGGATTCCTTGGCTGTTGGTGATACATTGGAAGCATCTGTTTTCCATGTGGATAGTTCTGACAAACTCTAAAGTTTGAGAGGAAAATTAAACACAATAAAACTCTCTCTTGAATTGGATGGTAAAATATACTAATTTGACCATTATATAAATAGAACAAATCTGATTTATCTGTTGGGAAAGTGCTACCTCTGAAACCAGCCAACTCAAATTCAATTCAACTCTGTAGCAAACAATTCATTTTCTCATTAGGCAATCACTGTTCCTTTCAATAAGGCAATTCCCACTCAGCTGTGGCCACTGCGGTCATTTTGAAGCACTGTCCCCTTTATACTATGGATATCAGAAAAGGACCTGCTGACCTTAGGAGGCATTTGAAAAAAAAAAACTTGCAATAGAGATGCATCTCAAGGGGAGTGTGCGCTCTTAGAAAGCATCATCTAGCTAAGGTTGTGCTCCCCGCTCCTGGCCAGTGACCGAGGAAACCGAAATCTAAATGGGAAAACAAACCTGCAAAGATAAAATTACAAAATTCTGCCATGCTTTTCAGATTCCTTATCCTTACTTCCAGAAAGGAAAGCAACTAGAGTAAACACAGTACTATTATATGTGGAAGAACTGAAAATCATTTGTACTTGCTAAACTCACAGTGTTGACCAATGCTGACCAATACAGAGGAAGACCAGTGAGTTTATTAGGAAAACTGAACTGAAAAATTCACAAAAATATACGGTATTTATCGCCAGTTAAAGCAACCAGTAAGAGCACAATGTAAGACAAAAGGAACTTACTTGATATATGAAGGTTAATAAAAGCATTTTAGGAAGAAAATATGTCATTTTAGTAAAAAAGCTTTCTGTTTTGAACATCATTAGTTGATAAGCACATGTCCAATGCTGCCAACAAACCCCTTCCCAAAGACAGGCTGGAGCAGAGCTTTCTTCACTGGGAACACCGACTCAATCGACCTTTTTGTCTGAGGCGCCCTCCTCATGCTTCTCAGGGCTGACTTTATTACTAGCACCAGAGTGAGCTGTCTGGACTTCATCTGGCAACGAAAAGACATGGCATGTCTGGAGGTCTAAGTACGTTGTAAAGATCTTGGCATATTCTGGGTGCTTTAGGGCAAAACTTTTGAATTCCTCTAGAAGGAAGGAAGAAAAAAAATCAATAAATTAGGGCGCTTCTTCTTTTGGCATGATGAAACTTAACAAAAGATCTTAATTATACAATGACTGCCGAATCCTGTTACTCAACTCAAAAAAAACTTCTGATAACATAAACTGTACAACCACTCTGCAATAGTTAAGTTACAGACATATATTTTTAGCAACTCACTAATTCTGTTCTGAGGTACACAACCTATGGAAACTGTGAATTACACCTGGAGATATGTATGAGAATATTCCCGCCAACATCATTCGTAACAGGGAAGGAAGCATAGAGCTCAGATGTCAATCAACAGCAGCAACGAATAAAATTGTAGCATATTCATGGAGCATAAGGACCGCAATGCAAGCAAGTGGCCAATGATGATGAATTATGACTACATGCGCTGAGTGGAAAATGCCAGATACAAAGGAACACAGATTACAAGAGCTCATTTATAGGCTGCTCAAAAACTTAGACCATAGTAAAAAATGTCAACACTTAGTATAAAAACTACTTAAATTCCTCAAATATTTTGTAAAACTTGGATGAACATAGTATTAGGAGAAAGGAAAGAATGTATGCATTCTGAAAAGAAAAAGGTTGAACTGAAAAACAAAACTAAACTCTGGCCACTGGTAGATCGCCAGATGGCCCACATCCCAGTGGACGGTCCCACACACATGCGCATTTGTGCTAATCGGGCTCAGTGGTTAGTCACAGAAAAAGGAAGCAATGTTGGAAGAGAGATGCACTGAGAGGGCCTGGGGGGAATTAAAGAAAGAGACCATGAGGGGTAAATATGCTAAAAATTATCTCTATCTACATATATATATGTATATATATAATTTTCAAATAAATATATTATTTATGATCAGAATATATCATATTAAAATTTTTAATAAAAAAAGGAAAAAAATCTCCTGGGACTGGTGACATGTCTCACCAGTCGAGAGCACTTGTTCTTGCAGAGGGCCTAGATTTGACTCCTAGCACCCACATGGCAGTTCTCAATCGTCCATAACTCTAGGACCAGGAGATCCATTGCCCTGTTCCGACTTCTGTGAGCACCAGATATGTATATGGTCCACAAACATCCATATAAGCAACTTCAACTCCTACACATAAAATAAATAAATCTTTTTTTAAAAATTACCAAACAATGTAGCATAATTTTCTAACAGATTATTAAGCTAACCAAAGTATGGCCATAGCAAATAATTTTAATATAGTTAAAAATTATTATCTTCCAGTGAAACACTTTATCAAAATTTGGTAGTTCTGGGGGTGGAGAAAAGGCTCAGTGGTTCCCAACCTCCACAGCTAGCTCACAATTGGCTACAACTCCAGTTCCAGGGAATCCGATGCCCTCTTCTGGCCTAAGTGGGCACTGCATGCACATGGTGCACACAAAGTGGAGGCATATAAATAAACATATACATACAAAAATAAGCTTTAAAAACTGGTATTTAGAATAATAATAATAGTAGAGAGTATCATGGAAGCTTTAGTTTACATGAGTTTTTGAAGTTTTTTTTGTTTTGTTTTGTTTTTTAATGAGCTCAACAGATTCACAGCCCTCTATATGTAATTATCTAAAAGAGAATATGGGGCAGACAAAAGGCCAGTAACTAAACACAGAGTAAGAGAAGTATGTGACCTGATTTCCCCATCCCGTAAGCATTAATAAGCTGAACCTCTGTGAACACCATCAGGGCAATGTAATTAGGTGGTTAGTGTCCCTCCAGCCAGAGGCGAAAGCTGGGGGAAGATAAGCCGGCCTGGCATCCAGGACCACATCACAGCTAAGCAGGAAACAATCACCCAGGCCTCCGCATGTTTCTGAGAGACTACTCTGGGGAATAGAGGGAAAGGGATCCACCACCATTGTTCTGAGCTATCAGGATGAAGGAGAAGCCAGTGCATGGGTCTGTATCTACACCACAGTACCGTAGACCTTCTTCTGCCATGGCCACTCCCTCATGGGGGCTGCTCTAAGATGACAAAGACAAAGGCTGCCCATATAAACTACTACATGGACCTCCACAAGTCATTTAGCCACTACTGTTGTGGTGCCTTGGACCATACCCCTCCCCTGCAGTTCCAGCCTAGCTTGACTAGCTCACTCAGGGCAGATAGGAAAGACACTGAGGCGCTGACAATGGTACAGGCTCTAATGCCAGACTTTCAATTTTTGAACCCTGGCTCTGACAATCTTCAGGTGGTCAGTCTTCAGGAAGCTCTTTAAATCTTTTGTTCTTCGCCAAACACAGATGTGGAAAAAAACAAAAACAAGAACAACAACAACAAAAAAACCCGGGACACTGATTAAACAAGTTTATAAACACAAAACATATGAGTACCTGGTGTGCGAGTCTTCAATAATTAGCTGTTACTATCACTACTAGAACAATGCTGTATGTAGTCACCATCGTCATTGCTATTACCAATAGTCAGCCAAGGGAACCCACTCATCTGACTCTCAATTCAAGGCCCGGATGCTCTCATCATAAATGAGGGGGGATCGGGATTGCCTACTCACCATAGGAAACAGAGTCCCCGTGGGCAATTTCCCTGAAGAGACCGGAAACATCAAGGTCAGGCACTCCAAGAGAAGCCTGCAGAATGGTGCAGAACTCCTGCTCTGTTATGTAGCCATCCTCGTCAACATCGAAGAGCTGCGAGTGAAACAGCACACGGAGGTGGCAAAGTGAAGCCTTTGATAACGGAGATAGTTACCTAGTTACCGTACAAGACATATATGCATGTATGCATACGCATATATTAATGTATATGCATGCGAGAGGGGACAGGGAGAGAATGGTCTCTGCTCCTCTTATAAGACTTAAACGCCTACAGTAGCTTGGTAGTGGAAAGAGCCAGAGCCAGAATTGGGGCCATGCCAATAGTACGTACTAAAAGACATGGGAGCCCAGGAGGGACCTGATGACTCTTACCCAGGGAGGTCCACAAAGGCTGTCATTACAGTTGGCTCTCATAATGTAAAGAGAAGTTCCCAGACGATAAAAGGAATGGCAGGTGAGTCCCTGGGACTTAAGTCCAGAGACTGATGGAGGAGCTAGATCCAGATCATGGTGGATGTATAGGGCCCCACCTAATACTTGCAAAGGGAAGAGGTTAATTACATGTCTTCTGAACAAGGCCTCTGAAGCAGACATAGTGTGCAGGACAATATGGGGGCAGGAGCCTTTCCCAAGCAAGAAAACCAAGTGAGGCTAGGGTGGGCAAGCAGGACAGGAAGGACAGACTGTACACACAGCACAGATACAGGCTGCAGAAAAGGTTTGTAGTGATGGGAAGGAGCCAAAGAGCCAGAGTTTTCTAGTTGGGTAACTGAGGAAAACAAGTCTAACTACTGCCAAATGAGATAAAAGTTGTGCCTAGAAAAGTTAAATCTGAGTTAGAGGTGCCAGGAGTAAGTGAAAGGGGGGGGGAGAGAATCAGCTATGAGCTCAAGAGATTATAGGGTTCCAGGTAGAAATTCGGGTAAGAACTGAACCACGGGCATGTACAGCTCGTCTGCAGAGAGGGTATGGAGTGAAGAACCAGCCCTGGGCCAGCCACCATTGAGAGGTAGACAGAAGAGGAACCGAGGCTTAGAAGGATTTGACAAGAGTGTGTCAAGGGAAGCTAACAGAAGGTCTTAGTAGAGCAAAACTTGACCCTGGAAACAGGCACCAGACTACAATGCCATGGGATGACCAAGGAGAGCAAAATATTTGCTAGATTTGGTTAAGTAGGAGATGAGAGGCATCCAGTCTCAGAGAACCAAAGGGGAAGAGGTAATGAAAGTCAAGGGGCAAACAAGAGATTGGGGAAGACAGCTGGTACAGGCATTTCTAAGAAGTTAAAGAAGAGAGGACCGCAGGAATGAGGTAACACCAGGCACGAGAGGCGATTACACTTATAGGAGGAAAGCAAAGCAGTGGGCTGGGAAGGCCAACAGCCAACCAGTGGGAGAGGAGTAAATGCTGGATAACCAATAACCAAAATAAGAATATTTAATTAGAACTTTTTCTGTCCAGGCACTGGTCAGAGGTATCCAGTTCCCTTTACATGTATTAATCCTTAACGCTCCCAATACACTTTGGCAACAGGTGCCTATGTTAGCCCTCTTAGACATGCGGCAGCTGAGGCCCAATGAAGGTAGCAGGTTCTGTCCCAGGGCATGCAACCTGTAAATGACAGAGCTAGCAAATGCTGTCGTCAGTACTGAAAGGCCCCAGTGCTTGGCATCTATATTTCAGACCAAACGTTAGATCAAAGACACGGAACAATTGCCATTAGTAAGGTCTGGTAATCATGGAAAGAACTATAAGTGAATATTTAACAGTGGGTGAGAGAAAAAAAGGCCATAGCTCGAAGAAAAGCCATAACTCGAATTTGGGATTTGTTACCCCAAGAAGGGGAAACAGGCTTCTGGCCCATTTCCTGCTGTTGAGTTGTTTTTGTTGTTGTTGTTGTTTTGTTTTTGTAACTGGGGTGAAGGTGGCTGGAAAGAGATGTGAACTGACAGGTTCTCATAAGCTGTAGACCACAGCTTCCTAATGCATCCTGGACTTCGAACAGTAACTGCCAGGCTCAGCGGCACCTCTACTATTCTACCTGTATAGCTCAGTGTAAAGAGGAAAGAAAAGATGGGAAGTGAGCTATAATGGGCTTACCACAGGAAAGGATGTGACGGGATTCTGTGTACTATGAAAGCATATAACTAACTGAAAACAAAAAATATGTAAAATATTCTCAAAACAAAACATACCAAAAATCAGCGTCAGATAACCAGTGTGAGCTAGGTGTGGTGGAACCTGTAATCCTAACACTCAAGGGGCTGAGGTGGAAGTACTTCAAGTTTGAGCCAGCCTGGGCTACAGAGTGAGACTTTGTCACAAAATTAAAAAAAAAGTAGATAAATAAATACATAAAGATAGGTAAATTAAAACCAATGTAAAGCATGACCCTTGCCATAGTGAAAAAAATGAGCTAATTATAGATGTTAAGTCTTCCTTTCTTCCCTCTTCCATCATCAAACCAAGGTCTAGGCTGGTCAAGGTTTTCATGGTTTCTTTAAAAACAGTCATTACTGTGATGAAGGGCCAGCTTGTCTATTGGGTCTTTCATTGGCAAACCAAGAGTGACCCTTTGCTCAGCTAAACATGTAATTACGCATACAACCCCCAAAACAGACACGGAGATGTCTGGATTGGAATAAGTTAGCTCTATGTGTCATTTTAGGTTTTTGATGAGAAAGTCTAAAAGCTGAAGGTTTGACATTTTGGGAAAGTATCTGGCCCCTGCATCACACTCATCACCAGCTCCCTGGGTTCTTTACATCCAGTTTGCTCAGTTTAAAGCAATCTGCAATGGAAACTGTCCTCAGGGCACACCATCCCTGGTAGCCTCTAAAACACACACACACACACACACACACACACACACACACACACAGAGGAGTCTTGGCCAGATAATAGAGAAAGGAAAGGCTTGTTTGAGCCACAGTGGGATTGGTCTCAGAGAAAGCCAGAGAGAGAGGAGAGGAGAGGGATGGGAGAGAAGGTCACTGGCTTTCATGCTACATGGAAGCTGAGACTGTCACTATACAAGACAATGGGCTCAGCTGAGCGAGGTCAGTGGGGAGATGAAGGCAGTTGAGCGATGTCCCACTGGTGTGGGAGAATTGTCTATATTCTGTCAATCATGTTTTAAATAAATGCTGATTGGCCAGGTAGGAAGTATAGGTGGGAAAGCCAGACAGAAAGTAGAAATGATGCAATGAGAGCAGGAGAATTCTGGGAAGGAGGAAGTTGATTCCTCCCACTCCTGCCCAGATCACCGAAGCAGCAAGATGTGATCTGCCCCACTGAAAAAGGTACTGAGCCACATGGCTAACATAGATCAGAACAATGGGTTAATATAAGCTACAAGAGCTAATAAGTAGCCTGAGCTAATGGGCCAATCAGCTTTATAACTTATGGAATCCTCTGTGTGATTTTCTTTGGGGCTAAACAGCTGGGGGAACCAGAAAGGACAGAAAACCCCAACAAACAAGCAGGCTGTTCATGTTATACCCCACGAGCTTAGAACTCAAAGGAAAACACCACGATGAGACGCTAACAGATGATGGGTCTCCACTCTCCGGACATGCACTTTGGCGTATAGCTTGTGTGAGTGGCAAGTGCAGTCTGGATCTTTCCTCAAGCTTTGCTGGGGATAAGAAAGATTTTTTTTCCCCTAATTGAGATCCCCGTACTACACTGAAAATATGTTGGATATTACAGTAAGATCAGCAGGGTAGATTGGGACATTTATGATGATGGTCTGATATCACCACAAAAAAATAAACTCCAGCACTTGAATAAAAACCAGCCAATTGAATGATCTAGCAGATGCAAAATAAGGACAGATCAGAACTTTCTAGATGAATTAGGATGCAGGGCAAGGAGTGGTATTTATCTATAGCTATATATCTATATCTATATCTTACTTTAGAACTTCAAAAGAGGCCTGAAAAGAAACAACTTCAATTTGCTAAAGCATCCACTCTTCAATCTTGATGCTCACACCTAGGCTGCTTCCACTGCTGTTTAAATGAATGCCTGTGTTTTCTTTATTCTCAGTAGCAATTGACTTAATCACATTACCCTCCCGAACATGTCACAGCAGATCTATAAACTCGGGAAACAGATTCACCGAGTTTTCCAATAATGGAGTTAGAGTCAACACATATTTCCAAGGCCAGCCGAGATGTGGTCAGTGGGGTTGGCAGTACCTTAAATGCCACCTGGATGATCTCTTCTGTGTTGGCAGGGTTGCACAAGACAGCCAGGCCGATCACATACTCTCGGAAGTCAATACTGCCGTCATTATTCTGTGAAGATAGCCATCAGTTAGAAAGGCGGTTATCGAATTAGCGCTAATCATACGAGGCAAAGCACAAGCATGCTGTGCAGCACCGCAGCATCACGCACCGGGACACTGCGAAGAGAAGTTTTGAAGTTTTCCCGAGAAGGACAGCGAGGGAAGGACCACCCACTGCCAGTTCAGTAGAGTTACAACCAATAGTAACGACAAATACTAACCCCTGAGGCCATGCAAAGTGATCCACTGACACTCAGTGTGGTTCCTACGTTCAGAACTGCTTTGATGAGGACCCTTTAGGGGAAACAGGGACTAAGATTTTAATCCTTAGTGGAAATAAAGCTTTGGGTCTATGGTGAAAATGGTCCTGCCAAGATGGCCTGCACCAGAGGATCCCAAAAGGTCCTGGAAGGTTAATAAACAAGCTTTCTGTTTATTAACACAGAAAATGGAAGCGAAAGAAAAAACGGAAACTGAGGCATTAATTACAATGCATCCTTTAGTTTTCTGGCTTACTTTGGAATAAACCAGGAGCTGATAGGGCAAACCCAACAACCTCTTGAGGACTTTGAGGATTTGGGGTTCCAGAAGCACCTGTACTGTGGGGTCAGTGAAAGCCAAGCATAACTAGCATGATATAGACCAGGAAGGGTGTCACGATGACAACAGGAAGCAAAGGATACAGGGTGTGAGGTCTAACCCAGGCTGGCACACACATCAACTATCAAGAGAATGAGAGCTTACAATAAAGGAAAAATAGAATGAGGTTTAGTGGTGCCCAGTACTCAGGAGGCAGAGGCAGGTGGATCTCTGAGTTCAGGCCATTGTGTTCCACATAGCGAGTTCCAGGACAGCCAGGGCTACAAAGTGAAACCCTGACTCCAATAGGAAAGAAAAAGAAGGAGGAGAGGTAGGTTAGAACACAAGGGACCACGCAGGAGGAGAGAACAGACACCAGAGGAAACGAAAGAGAATGAGATGGAGAATGAGCAGAAAGATGGAAGAGGGAGGAGGGGAGCAGAATTCTAAGAATCCTAGATGTGAGAATCATTTTGGTGGTACAACTCCCAAGTGATGAATCTCCTGATAAACTCTGCACCAGGGACAAGGCTGGAGCAATATTCAATCTCACAGATTAACAAAGGGCGCTGGGCATCATCACACATGGATCTTCATCTTTACACAATCAACAGGAACACTTGAGAGAAGGGGCGTCTGTAAGCCCGGACACGGTGGGAGGTTCTCTGAAAGCACATTTTCTAGGGAGGTTTTCCTCCGCCTCTCAATAGCCAAACCTCAAAAAGTCAAACCACTCTTTTCATATTACTTTCTCTTACTGCAGGGCGGAAACTAAAAAAGAATAACAATCTAATTTCATGTTCCCACCAGGAAAAGCAGAAACAGAAATTTTAAGATTTCCCCCAAGTATTAGGGTTTATTTCTAAGACAAAGGCTGAAGTCATTCAACTTCCCTATTTGCCTAGAAACCACCATGAGAAGAACTATTTTTTAAAAATTGATTTTACTGCTGTTTAAGTTACATCCAACTGGATGCACCTACATGAAGTATCTAACTGATATCACATACACCAGGTAGTCACTGCCACAGTGAACATCTGGACGCCATCACCATGGAAGTGTCAAAGAAGACAGCGTATTAAGGAGCACAATATACTCCTTGTGCCATCATCACTTAATTCTTCACGCATGGTACACATGTTTTTGGTGAGTCTTAGACACAGAGGAGCTCATTTGGACCATGACAAAATTGCTCAACATAGATAAGCTTCCTACACAGTTGACTTTCCCTGAGCAAGAATGGCCTGGTGAATGAACAGTCTTTCTACACCACTGGCCCTGTGAAGAACGCCCGGTGAGCACCACGGCTCTTCTTGCAGAAACAAAAACATAACAGACCCTTCCTATGACCACTGGGAACAAGGCAATTGCTAGCGCCCAAATTTACACTAGTATATGGTGGCTTAAGCAGTCTTCAGTAGACACATTTTTTGATTGATATGATCATAATTTGGCAGACCCTTGACTCACATGAGAAAGAATTTGTAATTTTTCTCTATAGTAATGTGAAGGAGGAAAAACCAGCATGGAAATTACTTGGAGTGATTATTTTATTGGATTAATAACATACTACTGAGGCTGTAAATCAGTATAATAAACTTCAGAACTGGAGGAAATTGTTGAAACCACCAACGAAGCTAAAATGCATTTCATTTCAAGTTAATAAAATCCACTATTTCTATAACTGCAATTAAATTTAAATTTAATTTGATCATCAACCATTCAAACTTAACAGTTTAATAAAGTATATTTTTAAATGGACAAAACATTATATAACAACATGTATTCTTTGAATTTTCATATTTTTGAATTGGTTTTGTGATTTTTTAAAAAAAAAAATTGTTCCATAAATCTATGGCGGTTTCCTTCAAACTTCTCCAGGAAGAATTATAAACTTAATAATAGCACCTGGTCTTAAAATGTACTTCATAGCTACATGTAAATGAAGAAATAAACCTTTCCATGGAAGGTCCTAGTCATTTCTCCATATCCTTTGCCAAGGCAGAGCTGAGGAATAGTCAGAGTTGGCACCAAGGAGCTACCCTGAATCACTGCAAAAAGAAGCATGGCCAAGCTTCAGTGAGCCCTAGCTGTGGACCTCGTCCCTTTCCTGGAGGGCAGCAGCGTCAGAGTATGAGGAGTCACAGTGAGTCCAGTCACCCAGCACCTTTGACCTGCTGCCCTGGCTTCTAGGAGCATGAGAAGTCCAAGTAACTCATCTTTATATTAACTGTGGAAATCTCAGGAGGCGGCCCAGGAAGACCACTCTGCAGTTAGAATGGAATATCCCTACTTACTGTGTGAATATATGTCACTGTGATTGGTTTAATAAAGAAGCTGACTATTCAAGAGCTGAACAGAATTAAGGTTAGACGGGAGAGCCAAACTGAGAATGCTGGGAAGGAGAAGGAGGAGCCACAAGCACACACAGAGAGAAGCAAGATGAACATGCCGTACTGAGAAAAGGTACCTAGACATGTGGCAAAGTATAGATAAGAAATATGGATTAATTAACAAGAAATAGTTAGCTAGTAACATGCCTGAGCTATTGATGGAACATTTCTAATTAATATTAAGTCTCCATGTGGGAAAGTAACATCCACCAACATTTAAGAGCACTGTTCTTCCAGAGAACCCACGTTCAATTCCCAGCACCTATATGGCAACTAAAAACCATTTGTTAACTTCAGTCTACAGGGGATCTGGTGCCCTCTTCTGGCCTCTTCAGGTACTGCACACACATGGTACTTAGACATATACATAGCAAAACATCCACACACATAAAAATAATTTTTAAAAAATCTCAGGAGGAATAAATGGCCTGATTCTCAGGCATCAGTTTTTCGAGGCTGTTCCACAACTTAATGGATTTTGTCATTTAGAATCAGATTTTTTTTTAAGGATATGATTTTGAATACATCTTACAAGGGGTTAAATCTCAAGGACAGTTTTTCTTTTTCCCTTTGTTATGTTACAATTGATAACATCTTTGAGAATGAGAAATAACCAATGCTCTTAGAGCAACATTCAAAACATCCTCATAAAATATAATCTACTGGTCTTCCTTAAGTCCCCACCCGTGATGACACATTATTCCCTGAGGAACACTATTATTAGGACACTGTTTGTCTCACTTATCAAAACAGCCAAAGAAAGTTGTTCCAATCACTTGGGTATTCCAATTGAGAGTATAGTTCTGCCACATATATAATAACACTACCAATTTTACTATACTTAAACTACCTTAATATACTTAGCATTATGTGAGCACTTTCAAACAGTAATTCTGCCATTCTTCAAGATCAATTCACATTCAGTACAGGGTCGCTATGGGCATAAGGCTTTAAAACTAAAACATATTCCTAAAGTGACCTTCAAGATGACATTCCCATCATGAATGAGTTTTGGAAATTTCTTGCTTTTGGATATACAGCACACATTTCCTTTCTATGCTTTTATGGGTTGTGGAATTTAGTGGATACACGTTTTCAAAGTTATATGCAGTTTTTTGACACGTAAATTTGCAGTACAATCTTATACATTCTTCTTGCTATCATTCTCAGCTCACTGAAAGCTGAATGTATTGTATTCTTTAATGTTAGACACTCGCTGACAATGGAGTAGATGAATCAAAACCCTTCACCGCAGGCCATAAACAGCTTTCCATACAGAAATGGGTAATTTTTGCATGGGAGTTATTAGGAGTTGAGACAGGGTCTCATGCAACCAAGGCTGGTCTCTAGCTCACTAATTATGCCGCCAAGGCTTGACTTGAACTCCTGACCCCGGGCCTTTGTCCCAAGCATGAAGATCATAGACAGACATGTGACTCCATGACAGCAACACAGCACATTTTTTAAAGCTGCAAATTAATACTTTCTCTGACCTTGAAAGTGAAGTTGCAAACATTAGCCTTTGAATGAAAACTAAGAAATTCAGTCACCATTCGAGCTGTTGGTTCTACACAACCGCCAAAGATTTGCCTGCAGAGGACAATCTCGAGTGCGGACTGAATCTTCTAGTGTTCACAACGGTGACTGGGATCATTTAGATACATTTTATATGAATATAGAAGACGACAGAAGAGAAACTTAGGTGGCTTCTGGATGTTTCTCACGCACATTAGAGGAGAACCATGAAATAGGTATTCCCTCCGCTAGGGGACTGAGGGCAACACTTACCGCCACTTCTACCATGCGACGACAGCCTTAACTTTTATAAGGCAGTTATGATGAAATGCAAGCTCGGCATTGTCCCTTCGACAACCACAGTGTGGAAATCAAATCAGAAACATATTCCAAGTCCTGATAGACATCTTGGCAGCTTTCTCCCTTTCCTGGCCACTCTCCTGCTCCCATGTTGGATGCATTAGTGGACTGATTCTACAACAGTGAGGTTGGTAGGAACGGGAGGATGTTGGCAGCAGTCTCATGCTTATACACCCATAGCTGGTCTAGGCAGACGATCAGACCAAGTTAAATTACAAGTTCCTTCAAGAAAGTAGATGTGATCTCTGTGCTTGGCTCAGTTCAGAATTGCGTGTGTGGTAATTCATAAAGACTACATGAAGGTGGTGATTGGGTACACATGGTGGCCAAATGCCAAAGTCTCCCAACATCACTGGGGCTTTCTGACATGAGCTCCAGACCTCTTAAGAGGCCAGCTACATCGTTCCCATAGCTACAACTTTATTCTAGGTTAGTTTTTATCTCAGAAGGGCTCTCCAAAGCGGCCCAGGATGGAAAGAATGTACTAAACATAGCAGAGACTGAAAAACACTGAAGATCGGGAAATGGGTGGATAAAGACTTGCAGCAACCCAGCCTCTTCTGGGTCCTTGGTTTTGCTTGAAGTTGTAACAAACAGCTTGTACCAAATAATAAAATCAGGTTAAGAGCTAGATACCGGAAGAGAAAACAACCTTATCAAATAATAAAATCAGGTAAAGCGCTGTATACCAGAAAAGACATGGTTAACTCAGCGGCAGGGTGGCAGGTTCTCACTATTCCTGGTTTCCCTTTCTTGAAGGGAGGTGGCACCGACTCACCAGCCTGGCAGTTCTGGCTGAGACAGATTTGAAAAGCACTGGGAAGTAAGGCATAATCTACAGCGCTTAAGTCTGTCACCTCGGCATTGGCATTAGCACGACCTGAAGAGAATTGCTTCATCTGGAGGAGGAGTTAATCAGGCATCGCTAAAGGCCTCTCCCAGCAAGGCTAATCTACAGCCAGGACCTCAAGCCACCGCGAGAAAAGTCAGCAGCCTTTGCTGGCTGTGCTGCTTCCACTTCACTGATGGTTAATTATGTGTTTTGCCTGGTCTTTTTTTTTTTTCCTCTCTGCCTGTCGTTTTCAAAGATAAGCAAAAGAATTTTCCTTACTCTTAGGTTGGGCAAGATGGGACAAGAGCTGACTAACATCCCCTGGGTGCGCCTGGTTTTGTATGAAGTAAACATAAGAGTGATCATTTTGGCTCATTAAGGCGGCTAAAGACATTCTGAACAATGGCAATACCTTTTCATTCCTCTGGTCCTTGACGCCTTACAAACACCCCAATGTAAAGCTGCTCTGTGTGTCTCATTAGGAAGCAGCCAAAGGATGTTAGACTTTTAGGTGGGTGCTCTCTCTCTTTTTTTTATAAACTGATATGCCTAGATAAAACTGCCTAATCTCACATTTTTGAACCTATTGCTATACAATATAGTTAAGTTCTCCGGAAAGTAGACATCTTCATAATATAAAGTCCAGATGTGAAATTATGAGTAGAACAGACATTAACCTTTCCTTCTCAGCTTTTCAAGGGGAAAAACCTAGTCCCTGATGCTTTCCTGATCTATTCCAGGATCGTAAACAATGCTAATTCATAAGCAACAACCTTTTAAAGTCAACCAGTACTTCCTCAGCACATGCACATCTCTGCAATTGCCTCTCAAAAGTCATTATACAAACTTGGAACACTTTTTGTCTAAAATTAGTTTTAATTAAGCAGTACAGTGTAGATGGTCAAGAAGGAATATGTAACATTACAAAAGAGCTTTCCCCTCCCCCAGGAAATGATAACCATGGGTAGAATATGAACCGTGGTGCACACAGCCAGGCTTTCTGCAGTCCTCTCCTCCATGGTGGGTCTCACCCTCTCTGTGCCCATTTCAGGAATACATGGTCAGCTGCAGCCATTCTCGGAGGGACACCTGAATCAAGCCATCCGCATCGCGGTCCAGAGACTTGAACGAGCGAAACATGGCGTCCAGCCGGACCAGGCAGCTGATGAAGTTGTTAAAATTCATGCCGCCGTCCTCGTCGGCATAGCGGCGGACGACCATGAGGTAGAGCTTCTCGTTGAGCTGGAAGCCTGCAGCCTGCACAGCCCCGTGCAGCTGGGAGCTTCTGAGAGTGCCGGAGTGGTCGCTGTCGTACTGCTTGAAGACACACTGCCATTTCTTGATGTTGTTCCACAGGTACTTAAACTCCTCAAAGCCCAGCTTCCCGGTCGTGTCGCTGTCCATGACGGCCACAATGCTCCTGCAAGTGTCAAGGCTGAAGCCGTCGGTCTTCAGATCCTTGTGCTTCGCAAGGACTTTGTTGAGAATATTCTTCAGGTCACTGGCACCCACCTCCATGTCGGGTCCAGCCAGCTGTGCAAACTGTTGCCGAAACCGCCTGACCTCCTCACTCTCCGAGGCCTCCACGGCGGTAAAATGCCGCTGCTGCGGGGGAGGCGGCTCGGGGGTATACTGAGCTGCAGCAGCCTCGCTGATAAAATTGACAATCCCTCCAATGATCCCTCCAATGTTGCCTCCGCCTCCTCCTCCTCCTCCAGGACCACCTCCTCCAAGAAGGCCTCCAAGAGCCCCCCCAAGCCCCCGATCGGCTCCTTCAAGGATTGCTTTTGCCAGAAACATGCCTGCGGGTTAACGAGCAGGTGTAAACGCCGCTAAGGTTTGGAGAGAGCTTGCAATGGAGTCAGAGCAGTGCACATGTGGAAGAACTGGCTTTTCTGTACCTGCTTAAAACGGTACCACACCCCAGGAGATGGTGCATCTCCAACTGAAGTTGCTGAGTTCCGCTGGGTCCTAGCACCAGTCATATTTTCATGGGCCTCAATGAAGTTATTTTTTTCGGTGTCTATAGACAGTCCATGTTAGAATACTATTTTAAATAGGAAATATAAAACTATAAATTGCTATGGCATTGTGTTCTGACTTTTGCTAGTATCCAAAATAGGACATGAATTTTTCTCACAGGAGAAGGTAAATGATTCAAATCAACAACTTTTTAACCAAGGAATATTTACTGTAGGGATCGAACTGAAGAAAATTTGTGGGAATTTGATACAGAATGGCCTTCGTTTAATCCAGAATCCAATTCTTAAGGACAACTTGGTAGGTATTCTTCAGTCAGTCTCCAGATCCTACCCTCAGAAATTAATTCTGTCTGGAGGACGGCTATAGGGCCCCTAATTACTATTTTTGGGACCTCTTGGAGGCTAACACTTATACAAGCTATGCTATATATGTGTATGCCTCATGGGTCTATGGTGCTGGAGTCGGGCATCTGTGAGCTGCTGACTGCCTGTCAGAGGTGAATTCATCCTCCGCAAGAGCAGAACGTGCCCGTGTCCTAGCTCACAGTGTGAATTCTTATTTAAACGTTTGAAGGAATTCACCAGTGAAGCCATATGCCCTGGGCCTTTCTTTGTAAAGAAGTTACTGACTTCGGTCCAAACTTAACTTCTTTAGGGCTAGAGGGATAGTTCAGCAGTTGAGGGCAAGTACTGTTCCTGCATGGAACCGAGTTTGGTTCCCATCACCCGTATCAGGCAACAATCTCCTTTGACTCCAGTTTCTGGGGATCTGATACCCCTTTCTGGCCTCAGTGGGCATTGCAGGCATACACACACACACACACACACACACACACACACACACACACACAGTTACAGATCAAATAAAACCTTTTCTTTTTCCTAAGGCTGCTTCATTGGGGTATTAATAGAAAAATAACCTTAGGTCTTTAGAAATTTTTCTGAGTCTGCAGATTCAGTCATGGCATGCTTAGTATTTCTAAGAATGACTCTGCGCTGTCTAAGCTGTCCAGCCGGGTGGCGCATGGTTGCTCTTACATTAATTGCTATTTCTGTAAAATTAGCACTTACGGTTCTCCTCCCATTTCCACTAATTTGTCTGGCTTCCTTGTCTGTTTTCTTTCTCCAACATTACATTTGTGAGATTTAAGTATATATTTCTAACAAGCATTTTCAGAAGTCAGTGTGTGGGAGGCGGGTCCCAGACAACACTCTGAGAAAGTCTCCCTTCGATATGCTACATTTGAACTCACGTTCTCCAGGGCGCTTTGAAAGTTCCACTAGGGAATTCAGAGAAAGATGGTTAGGACTTAATGGTTAAACTATTGTATCCCTTGACGACTAAGATAGTTCAGTCAGTAAAGTGTGGAGAACACAGGGACCTCAGTTTGGATCTCAAGAAACCATATAAAAACCCAGGTGCCACAGCACACACCTGCCATCCAGCTCTGGGGAGAAAGGTACTGACAACAGGGTCCTTGGGCTTGCTGGTCAACCAGTCTGGCCGAATCAGTAAGTTTCAGGTTCAGTAAGAGACATTGTCTCAAATGGTAAAGTAGAGGATAAACTGAGGAAGACACCAAGATCAACCTCTGGCCTCTTCATGCACACACACTCGCACAGTCATACAGTCACAATTCCACACACACATACATACACACACTCACACACACATACACACACAGCATGATTATTTTATTACTTAGTAATTATTTTACTACTTCTTTCAAATCTGAAAAGTGATAAGAGTATCTTCCCTGCCTGCTTCACCATGGCTCAATCTAATTTTGTCTGCATTGGGACAAAGGCTAGGCGGTTAGGATGCAAAGGTAAATAAGATAGGACTGCTGTGCTCAAAGTCAAGAAGATCACAGGGCTGATCGTAAGTGTAAGCTTGTGTCCATTTGCATATTTCTATTACTAACACTAAACAATTAAGATTTCATAGATCAGAGTTTGGTGTTAAGATTTCATTAAATTCCCCTGGAAGATAAAAACATATTCTAAATAAAGGAAAACTCAGAAAAGGTACCACGTTCTGAAGATGATTCAGGTGATGGGCTTTATACTGCACTAGCAAACTAGCAAAGCTGCCCAAAGAAAGTCAAGGATCCCGCTGAGACGAAGGAAAGGGGAGCATTTACTACAGGAGAGCGCGCGCACACGCCTGACTATGGGTGGAGTCACTTCCCCATGGACAATGATACAAGGGGACAACACAGCAGACACACAGGGAAGCAGGGGATGCGGGGCATTCGGGAGGTAGTCAACAGCACAGAGTGATGAGAGCCTGCTCAGACGCTTGGAAATGATGAGAGGGAGCAGCGAATCAGAGCGGGGTTGGAAAGGATTGGGGACCACCGTATAAGAGGGTCCACCTCACAGGGTACTGAGAACCACCATAGCTCAGAGTGGAGTCACAATGAGAATAGTACCGTGAAACTGCACAGTTCTAGAACAATACGTGTGCGAGCCATTTAGAGAACGGTAGCTAGAGAACCGCAATCTCTCCCTCCCTTCTGAACCAAGAAGACCTTGAAGTTTCAATTCTGCTGCTTCAGCTCTGGAATGTTTGGATTATGAATCTATGCCACCACACCCAACTGACATTATTATTTTTTTTCTGTTCTTTTAGGTCATGGAACAATGTCTTCAATATCCTATTTCAGCCATACCCAATAACTGGCCTTATTTCTTAGGGACACAACGAAATTACTTGTATGGACACTAAAGAACAAATATCCTTAACTGTGTAGGGAAATGTACACAGAAATGACTGCTTTCCTTTGAAGAGACGCACAGGGCTCACTGTGTCTCACACAGATTTATACCTATTTATAAAGCTTCTTTAAGTGAGAAAATTTTTTATTTTTACATTTTTAATTTATGTGCTTTGGTGTTTTATCTGCGTGTTTTTGGACCATATGCATGCAGTGCCCATGGAGGCCAGAAGAGGGAGTCAGATCTCCTAATGGGAATTTCAGTTGGGGGCCACCCTGTGGGTACAGGGATTCAACCCCGAGTCCTCCAGAAGAGCAGCCAGAGATCTTAACCACTAAGACATCTCTCTAGAATTTTTTAGTGTTGCAAATTAACTCGATAGCAACTAGTATCCAATACAATGGACCTCATCTTACATGTTGCTTTGTTATTTGACTACATTTTAAATTCCAATCATTTATACTATATGAAGAAGGAGGGCATTTGGCTAAGAGTTTGTCATCAGAGCATAACACGCTGCTGTTAGATGAAGAAGTCTTTTCTTCAATGCCCACTTAATCTTCTACAGTTATTTATTAGAACATTTATAACAACCTGAGTTGCTATCTGGGAGGAAAAACCACTTCTAAAATCTGGAAGAAAAGACAGACCAGGCTGTACCTAAAGAAAAATTACGCCCAACAGGGGAGAAAGAGTTACTGAACTTACGAGATAAACATTGATACATGAGCACTAATATAATATCATTTCTAATAGTGCCAAGTGAAAACAACCTCAATATCTACCAACTGGTGAATAAGTAATTGATACAAAGAAATACTAATCAAAACCAAAATGGAATGAACCACTGATACATACTACATGGACAAATCTCAAACCACGCTAACTAAGGAAGCCAGACACAGGGCTACATGTTGTTACATTTCAGTTACTCAAAATGTCCAGAAAGCCCACATGTATGAAGCCAGGAGGCAGATCAGTAGCAGCCACTTAGGTTCTAGGAAGGAAGCATGTGACAAGAAAATGATACAGCAAATGGCACAAGGCATCAGCTGAGGGTGACAGAAAGGTGCTAACACTGATTGGCGGTAAGGGTTGCAGAGCCTGGTAAATAAACCGAGGGGGAGACATGCATTTTTTTTTCAAGACAGGGTTTCTTTGTAGCTTTGGAGCCTGTCCTGGAACTAGCTCTTATAGACTAGGCTGCACTCGAACTCACAGAGATCCACCTGCCTCTACCTCCCGAGTGCTGGGATTAAAGGTGTGCGCCACCACCACCCGGCTGAAGACATTAAAGGAAGCGAATAACGGGATTTGTAAATCAGACCTTAAGAAAATAATTGTTTTTTTTAAATCCACGGTAACAGTTTAACAGCAAAAAGATCACAAAATGTTTATTTTCCATGGTGCAATTAGCCAGCTCTGTGGCCATGAGGTGGAACTTCCTCCCTTGGCCTAGCTGCTTACCACAAAATGAAGAGAATGGATAATTAATTAGCTATCTAAGGCCTCAAGTTCTACAGTTGTGTGTGTCTGGCCTTTTTCTTTGTTTTGGGTTTTGTTGTTGTGTTGGCTTTTTCGTCTGTTTGTTTTTAGAGATAGGGTTTCTCTGTGTAGTCCTGGCTCTCCTGGAACTTGCTATGTAGACCAGGCTGGCCTCGAACTCACAGAGATCCACTGCCTCTGCCTTCTTAGCGTTAGGTTCAAAGGCATGCACCACCACCACCTAGGATGTGTCTGGATTTTCACATCATGTAATAGTGACAGAAGCAACATTCTTTCATTCAGTTTCCTTCTGCTACCTACACCTCTTTCTGAGACACACATCTAATCATCTGTACCTTGAGCCTGGTCCTATCAATGGGAAAAACATGTTACTTTACTCCTAACCCTATGTTTACACGGGACCTCGCTTTCAAAAGTATGCTGAGTACGTTACTCCTCTCAGGGAGCCCTCCAGGTCACAGGAAGGGACTGAGTCTACATGGCGGGCCCCCAGTTCCCATCTCAGGTAAAGTCTTTCTGTCAGGTGTGGCCTTAGCTACTGCAAACGTGATGTGGAGTAGACACTCTGAATTTGGCAATCATTTGTCGATGAAAATACCACGCTGGATGAAATCATAAGCTTTTCTAGAGTCTATGTGAGCAGGACTGGTTTTTCCCCTACGCTGAACTCTCACTCTGTCCAGCATAGGGGATGAAACTAAACACAATCTTTTCCTTACAAAGCCGGCTTTTGACTTCCCTTCACTCTCGGGGGAGGCCAGCAATTGCTCACTTGCTACAGTGCAGAGGTTTGGACTGTTTCAGCCCCTCTTCTGCTTCCTCTCCTAACCTTCCAGGAACCCAGGCACTAAGAATATAAAAAATAGGATTCTTACGTCTAGATACATATTTATAAGATTATAACACTCAGAAAAACACTATGATAGTTGAGATGAGAGAGTCAAGTCAACCCAGGAATTGGGAAGAAATACTTAGAGGACTGCCAAACTTTCAAGACAACTGAGCCGAAAAGTTCACCTATCCCACCCAGAAGTTGTAGCCTTTTCCTTCAAATGATATCATGGAAATTACAAAGTGACTTCCATAGAGCAAAGACTGCCTAGCTGGGCTCTTGTCATACAAACTATGAGACACTATGTTCCTTAATCAAAACCGACACAGAAGTAAAAAAGATGGGAATTTTCTAGTCTCTCTGCAAACATAGAAGGTATCCGTGTCTTGACTTTCACCAGGAGTAAATCCTTGGACCACAGCACCTTGCTTCTAAAAGCAAGGGCAAGCCAGGCTGTTTGTTATTATTGGCATTCAAGACTTGCACTTGGATTCACACCAAGAACAGGGTAGATGGGAAGAAGTTGGAATAAAGAAATACATTCATCCCACAGAATGAAACAGTAATAAAAGATCTGCAGATGTTTACAACAGCCAGAAAGGCTGGTTTGCCAGAGCGCTAAAGTATACATAAACCCTTCCTGAGTCATACTTAAACAAAAGACATTCTGCTGCCAGAAGAGCTCAGGGTTAAACATAAGAAATGGAAATGTGATACTTGTCAATGTTTTCTAAAGAAGGGAAATAGTAACCATGTAGCCTTACTATTGGTCTGTGTACAGAATCAGATACTGAGCTCACGTCGGACTAGACCCAAGGAAATAGAAATCAAGTTCTCTCATTCTTTTCCTTGTGTCTGTGAGGACCGTTGGTACACTACTACTTCAAACTAGAGGAGGTGGGCTGGAGAGATGGCTCAGAGGTTAAGAGCACTGGCTGTTCTCCAGAGGACCCTGTTTTAACTCTTAGCACCCACATGGTGGCTCACAGCCATCTGTTAAGTCCTGCTCCAGAGGATCTGATGCCCTCTTCTGGCCTGTGTGTGCACCAGGCATACATGCGGGACAATGACATACACGCAGGAAAAACACCCTTACACATATTGTTTTCCTTTTTTAGTGTAGGAGGATATTAACAAGGGGGGCTTGCAGAGGATGAACTCATCACTGCTGTTATGGTCCTGGCAAGACACAGTTATAGCTACAGAAATGACTGTCCCATAATTGTTCCTGATTTAGCCAGTATTATTTTTTGATCTCATTAAATGCTCTTAAGTTCCTTCACACGTGCTAGCAAATAATTTAGTACTTAATTTGAATTATTACTGTAAAATATTGAGACGCCAATATTCTAAACCGTTGTCTCAGACTTATCTGGACGTTTAACTTTCCAATTAATCTTCGATATGAAGAATTCAGTAAATAACCGTGAGTATAAACAAGCTAAATTACAGCCAAAGATAAAAAGAGTTTGTTGTTGTCCCTCAAAGAGATGGGATCTTGCCAAAGGAAATTACTCCAAACTAGTAAACAAAGACAGCTCATCTTTGGAACATTTAAGTTGTCTACAATCTAATGTCTGATCGTATAAAGAACATACTACTAATAGCATTTTTAGGACAAAGTGATAAAAATAATGACACAGTTTTTGTAGATTAGCCAAGAAGAAAGAGTCTTAGGGAACCCTGAGAAGGGAAGAGAGGGCAAAGGCACATGGAAAGTGGTGGGGGGGTTTTCCGCACAACCATGGACAGCTGCTAAGGGATCAACAGGAACACCCAGCCTTCACTAAGCATTACTACCTAGCTACTGAGGGGAACACACTTGGAGTTGTGGGACCTCCCTACTCTCCCATCAAACATTCTCCAGCTCAATCATTTCACTAGACAGAGGAAACAGGCCTGGCATGTGTGAGTGTGTGCACAAGGTGTGGCAACCATTACACAACTCGGCTTTTCAAAACAAAGAATCTTCACAGGCACAGACCTGCAGCTGCATTAAACACACACACACACACACACACACACACACACGCACACGCACACGCACACACGCACATACAGCGAGCAAGCGAGAGACAGAGACAGAGAGATGGAGGGTAGATTAGATAGACAGAGACTATCTAATACATTAGTCATTAATTCCCCACACTATCTTCCAACACATGGCAGGCAGAAGACCTGCTTGGGGTCTATACTGAAAGCCAAGCACAGAGAAGCACACTGACGGCTGTAAGGGCGAGGGAAATCTGTTCGTATTGCATGAATTCCTTCCCCAGCTTCGGCGTCTCCGCAGCTGAACCTGCTTCTATTTCTGAGGACTTAGTCTTAAGCTCCCTGTATAGACCGTGATGCTCCAGATGAATCCTGGGCCAGCCTCCATTTCCTTGTCTCTTCTTTGAAGACACCTGCGCAGGAAACTTTCTCCCCATATTTTTTAGAGAAAACAAATGTAAAAGTCCTCACCTCATATCATGGCCTGGTGCCATGTAGCCCCATCACTCCGTGGAGTTCCTCGTGTTCATTTTAGTCATGTATATGACTCATATTATGGGACCTGCCATATAGTCTTTTATTTTTAGCATGAAATTGAGATCATGCTGTATAAATTGACACTTTGAATTCTTTTTACTAATGCGTCATAAACATTTTACTGTATTATAAATAGATTTTCAAAAATCTCAAATGTCCTAATGACTTTCAATGTTCATTAACTTTACTGTACGAAAGTAAGTACTCAGGTAAATAAGAAGCCAGTGCCTGCAGCACTAAGGAAGACCGCAAGAAAGAGGGTGGAGATGCTCTACAAAGCAGAGGCAGGACAGCTAACCAGAGACTATGTGGTTCCACTGTTTAGGGAGGGTAAGCAGAACATAAGCGCATAGGAAGAAGCCGTGAGTCGGCACAGAGGCAAATCAAACAGACACTGCTTAAGGGGCCTAGGAGGAAGATTTCATGTTTGCATTAGCGATACGGGGTTTTCCACCACAAAAGGAAATGAATGCCAGTTCTCATATGAAAGACAAATGATAAACAAGTAAAATAAACACGAGACCTACTAAAATAGCCCATGGAGAAATGTGATTGGCAAAATAGGCAACGGTTCTCACCGGTGTTCTTACGCCCAGGACCGATTGTCTTCTCTAGGTCGGAGTGACTTGATCTGTCTGACGGGTGGTTATTCTAACCCTGCCCCTTTCACATACCCAAATCTTCCCGTATTTAAACATGACATAGTAACAGTACAGGTGTTAGCAGGTGTCACCAATCAGACCTGGAACAATCCTGCATCTGCCCATGGTGTGGCACCTGAAGTATAGGGCAGCTTTTACAAATGTCACTCTAATGTTGATGAAAAGGTCCTGATGTTGCCTAAAGATGTGCTGCAATCGTCCCCTTCTGTCCCTGCATTTCCTCATCTCCTTCCCTTATTTGTATGTTGTGGTCACATCCCACCGACTGCAGGGAAACTTCGTTGGAATCTGCTTGCCTGGCTTTTGAGCCACAGAGAATGCTGCGACGGAAATGTCACAGAAACGGTGGTTATATTAGAGGAAAAGCCCCTCTAATTTACCAAATTTCATAGTTAACGCCCAATAGTCTTTCTCCCTCACCATAAATCTCCATTGCGCTTTAAGCATATCATGACATTAATAAGCTATTTCACGTAGGAGGGCATGTAATTCGAATATTGTAGCAAGCCCAGAAGAGACACATAGGGATTTCATACAGAGAAAGGGTGGTGACCCGTATCATGTTAAAGACTAGTTGATTCTACAAGAACACAAAACAAATCACAAGAAAGATGAGCATGCTGGCGGAGGAGAGACACCAGGGATGGGGAAAGCTTGCTCTGTCTTTCATCAGGCACAATTTCTTTGAAAAACATCTTTTCTTGATGGTGGTAGGTAACTGAGAATTCCAGTATTAAACAAGAGGAAGTCAGACCCCTTTGAGCTCTCTCCCAACTAAACTACAAACCATGGGCAAAACACGAAGTAACCAAACTGCTCCTGAACAAAATGCTAAAGGATTGGTAAAGGTAGTCACAGCTCAGAGGACAACCAGGAAGGTTGCGAAGCATGGAGGTCTGAAGGTAGGAGGACGTGCTTAAATTTCCTCAACTGGACACAGGACAAATACTCCTCAGTTGAGGAACAGATAAAGGGAACAAATTATTGCCACATTCAACCCAGTGGTCGAATAGTAAATACAATATGCTATGCTAAAGAAACGGTTATGTTAGTTATGTTAGTACTATATGATCCCATTTATATGGAGTCTTGAAAATACATACTGACCAGTATGGACAGCAGCATTTATTAACGATGAAAGGAGTTAAAAATGGGAGGGGGAGCTCATCTAGAAATGGATAGCTATATAGGAATTATTATTTTAGTATATTTTTAGACTAGAAATTTTAAGAGTATTTGTCTTAAATGTAATGGAAGCAACAGGTTTCTACGCATGTGCTAACTTGGAATTATAACTAAAAGAGTTCATTTTAACACTCCATACACTAAAATAACTTTTTAAAGAAAATCTGAAATCTAGATAAATTTTTCCTAAAGAAATTTTACTGATAGGTCCGTTAACTCGCTGCACACAATTACATATTTACAAACATGGAGGAGCTTAGTTGAACTCTGTCAGGTAATTTCATTTAAAAATAAAACCTACTTGGCCTTCACACATTTTGGAGACAGCCCAGAAATGTTCAGAGTAGAACACCACCACCCATGTCACCAAAGTACAAATTCTACACACATTTAAAAATTCTTCTCAATGACGTAAACATTTCCAATTCTACATCGCAGATGTAACTATAAGCAGTTTTTACTTCTGAACTGATGCTTAAATTAATCCACACTGCTAATGTTGCACTACGTATGTTCCCAGCCCTACTTAGTAGTCACACTAAGGGGAAAGTCAGTTCATGGCATCACACTACACTGGTTCTTCTCGCACCGGTCTGAGAAGATTGTCAGTGTCTGCCTTGAGGTCTGAGGAATGGGCTGAGGAAAACGCTAAAGATAAATTTGAACATACCCTGTCAAAGAGTGCAAAAAGTTGTCTCAGGACATCAGAAACAGGTAACTTTAAGTATTCTGCAAACTCTTCGATTCCAATTCTGCCTCCTTTGGAGGAACTAGCAATAGAGGCATATTCATCCAAGTGCTTGCGAATGCCGTCCCAGTCTAACCTAAACAGAGAGTTGTAAGGACATTGTTAGCTTTTTCTAAGTCACACGAACATTTTATGACCGTTACTTTATCAACTTGTCCATGGGAAAATAGTCTATGTTACATTTTAAAAGGCAGAGAAAATAAATATTTGAGAGAACATATCAAAGGTGTATGTGACTACTTAATTTTTAAAAGTATATCAGTGAAGGTGACCAAAAAAAATCCATAAAATATTGGAAGGAAAGAAAACTAAATACAAGCAGTGTGGCAAAACAGCAAGAGTCCCAAGAACTTGAACCTAATGTTATCTGGAAAACCAACTGCTGCTTATTGAGCTGTTATGAAAGAAATAATGGCTATTCTTTCAACAAGCTTTTGAAATGTTGCGATCGGGCGATTCACTAAACTCTACCCATCTCCTCTGACATTAGTTTTTAAAAAGCAGAATGACAAAATAATTGGAAAGTACACTATGCTTACATCACCTCCTTGCTTTGAAGAATTAATATGTGCTCTAATATACACTTCTACAAGCAGTTTCAATGACTGTATCACTTTTCAAGCCTAAGGAATATTGTGGACAAAGTGTTAGCACAAAAGCAAAATTCTGTTCTCATCTAAAAGACAAAAATATTTTCTATATAATTTATCAAAATTCATTTCCATAAGAAACTTTGAAAGAACGAGTTTTACAGTAATTGCCTAGGGAGGACGACAGCATTTATTAAGTCAATAACTTCTGCAAATTCCTAGTAAGGATAAGAACAGAATTAATCATAATTAAAGAAAGATAGGAGAATCACAGCAAATAGCCAAATTAGTAATAAAAAAAATGGTTCAAACTAGATTACAAATGCATGGGAGCTGGTGGGGGGGGTCTGCCGTAACAAAACCAAACCAAATAGGTACTCAAACCATAAATAGATAAATAAATAAACAAACAAACAAACACACAATCTATGGGAAGGCTGCTTACAAGATGACTCATAGGGTAAGGGTGCCTGTCATCCAGCCTGAAGACCTGAATTCAATCTCCGGCCGGTGGAAGTCATGGTGGATAGAGGATTAACTGACTTCTCCAAGTTGTCTTCTGACCTCCACACATGCCTTCTGGCAAGAATGGTATGAATGTGTATGTGTGTGCGCATATACCTTGAAATATACTTACTTCAATTTCCGGCTAATCTTTGTAAATTCTACCAGCCCAGCTTCCATAGGCAATGTGAGCTGTCCCGCTGAGATCATCAGCCTGCAGTCTTCGTAGGTGTGATCCGTCACTGGTATTGCCAGAGCTCTAAAAGCAGTAAGGAAAAAAAACACGCCATGAAACACTCATGATGTTTCACCCGTCCTGTGCTGGTGAGCAGGCCGTAGTGATGAGAAAGGTGTCTGTGGTTCCTCAGATGGTTGGTTCTCTTGCTTTGCTCTACTTCCTCGATCCACTCACCAGAACGCCTTCTATCGTTAGGCTTTTGTATAGCCGAAAATTCATAGTTTGTGTTCTTACTGGAAACATACTCTATTAGTGGTAGTATTGCAAATTATGCAACATAATAATTAGTGTTGTGGGGTTTGGCAATCGGAAGTGCGGATGTGAGTCCTAGCCTGTCACTATCTCACAGGATCTGGGGGAAACTGCTTAGGAACCAGCCTACTGCTCTCCTTGCCGCAGGACTGCTCTGAGCACAAGGTGATATAATATGCACAAAGGGCCTTCATAGCACTTGCTTTGAGCCTTTTGTATTTTAATACAGGGCTCACTGAGCACACTAGGTTGGCATGACATCACCATCTCCAGCCTCCTGAGAGCAGGCACATTTAAGACTCAGTGTGTACACCAGGCTGGCATGACGTCACCATCCCCAGCCTCCTGAGAGCTGAGATGAGCAGGCACATTTAAGACTCATTGTGTACACCAGGCTGGCATGACGTCACCATCTCCAGTCTCCTGAGAGCTGAGATGCACAGGAACATTTTCAGATGGTTTGGTCGCTTATTTTTCCCACCCCAATCTCATTATAACAGAAACCACATGAAAGACAAAGCAATACTTTTAATTCCTACTTCACATAAGAGGAAAAGGAGCTCAGGATGGCGTGACTTGTTTGTAATCTTTATGTAAGGCCGCTATTCATCCACTCATATTGCAGAAAAAGAAGAGGATTGGACTCATTTTTATGTATACTGTGGGAAGCCAAGTTATCTGATACAAATTCTTTCCTAAATTTTAGACACAAACTGGCCTACAGTTACAAAATTTGCTTTTACATTGTAAAAAAAAAATATCAAGACAATTTTTCTAGCTGGCTTAGAAACTAGATAAAATAAGCAAACCCAAGCATATTCAATAGCAAAAATGTTTCAATAAACATTTATCCTATTTTGAAAATAAATTTATGCTGTTGTGAAGTAAGACATGCGTATATAGGGAGACAAAATGAAGATTTAGTTAAGGTTTCTATTGCTGGGATAAAATAGCATGAACAAACAGCAAGGTGGGTAGGAAAGGGTTTATTGTGCTAACACTTCCAGGCAGCAGCTCACCACTGAGGGAAGTCAGGGCAGGAACTCAAGCAGGACAGGAACCTGGAGACAGAAGCTGATGCAGAGGCCATGGAGAGATGCTGCTTGCTGCCTTGCTCTCTATGGCTTGCTCAGTCTGCTTTCTTATAGAGCCCAGGACCACCAGCTCAGGGACGGCTCCGACCACAGTGAGCTGGGCCCTCCCATATGAATCAGTAATTGGGAAAATTCACTGCAAACTAAGGAATGCTGAAAGTGGGAGAAACTGTCTTCCCCAGGAATGAGCACACCACCTGGCTATCCAATACCAAATGGTCAGCACTGAAAGCAAGCATGTGAGTGACATTATTCAGACTGAGTGTTTGTAGGTACGTATTTACACACACACACACACACACACACACACACACACACACTCCAATACTTAATACAAAAAGAGTACATAAATTTGAAAGAAAGGGAGAAAATATGCAGTTATATTAATCTTAAAAACTAAAAGAAAAAATTTTTAAAATCCTCCCACCAAAAAGAAAAGATAGAAAACACACTAGAGTTGCCTATAGGCAAATCTCATGGAGGCATTGTCTCAACTGAGAATCCGTCTTCCCAAATGATGCCAGCCTGTGTCAAGTTGATAGTCAATAAAACTAGCCAGGACAAAGTCAAATTTGGAGTTCCTATAGAGTTTTTACTGAAAGGCAAGGGGGGAAATCTGTGTGTCTATCAGTCCCAAACTCCTACTGGGGCTCAGAGAGGGAAGCAGTTCCTGGGTGAGGGTGTATACACATGGAGGGCCCAAAGGCTGCTGAGTGATGGTGTACATGTTCTTTTGTTACAAGTCAGTATACGTTATCTAATTAAAACAAGACTGCCAGGCAAAACTTGGGTGCATGGGGGGGTGAATGTAAGGGGAGATGGGTAGAGAGAAGGGAGAGGGGGAGGATTCAGGAAAGCTTGGGGGAATGGGATGGGTGGGATGGAGGAAGGATGGATATGGGAGCAGGGAAGTAAATATCTTAATTAAGGGAGCCATTTTAGGGTTTGCAAGAGACTTGATTCTAGAGGGGTTCCCATGTTCAAGGAGAGGTCTCCAGATTGTTTCTTGAGCAGCTGAGGAGAAGGTGCCTGAACTGTCCTTGTCCCATAGCCACACTGATGAATATCTTGCATATCACCATAGAACCTTCATCTGGTGATGGATGGAGATAGAGACAGAGTCCCACATTGGAGCACTGGACTTAGCTCCCTAGGTCCAAATGAGGAGCAGAAGGAGGGAGAATGTGAGCAAGGAAGTCAGGATCATGAGGGGTGCGTCCACCCATTTAGACGGTGGGACTGATCTAATGGGAGCTCACCAAGGCCAGCTGGACTGGGAGTGATGGAGCATGTGATCAAACTGGACACTCTGAACGTGGCTGGCAATGAAGGCTGACTGAGAAGCCAAGGACAATGGCACTGGGTTTTTATTCTACTGCATGGACTGACTTTGTGGGAGCCTGGTTTGTTTGGATGCTCACCTTTATAGACCTGTATGGAGCGGGGAGGAGCTTGGACTTTCCACGGGGCAGAGAACCCTGACTGCTCTTAGGACCGGAGAGGGAGGGGGAGGTGGGGAGGGGGAAGGAAAAGGGAGGCGTGGAAGAGGTGGAGATTTTTAAAAATAAATTAATTAATTAAAATTTTAAAATAAAATAAAATAAAATACTCACCAGTTAAAACCCCCTTAAGTACAAGAAATTCTTATGCTGTCCAGTTTCTGTTGTGGCCGTTTTTTCATAGGGGGGCTGTTTTCCCTCTCTGTGCATCTCTCCACAAGCAAGCCTTTCCTTTCTGGTAGCATAATCACTAATACTTTAGAAACAGCCAGCCTTGGGCAGCTCAGTGGATGGAAAACTAGCCTCAGTGTGGGTGCCTGAAAGCACCCCAAGGCTCCGTAGTGACAGGCCAGCACCGTGGAAGACTCTAGCTGGCCTTTCGAGCAGAGACACACCATGATCAGCTATTTTGCTGACTGTGTACCTTAGCACACCACCATACCTACCCCATGAGCTCACGAATGAGAACCATGGGGGGGGGGGACACTTGAAGCTATATTGAGGAACATTTACCAATAATTTTCAAATTATTTATCAGTTAGACGCTCCAAGCCATACTTACTCTGCCATTAAATTCCGGACTCTACTGGCAAAAAGAACAGGATCGTTTTTTTCCTCATCACTTGGTGCTTGAACAGGCATGAACTGAAAGACAAACACACCTTTCCACAGCGGTCCTTCGGCCCAGGACATTAAACACTAAATAAACTCAGCTAAATGATCAATCAGCACTTGACCTTGCTAGAGCACATGTTCTATGTCATGCGAGGGACACTGGGCTCAGGCTTGGGACATGGGAGTCTCCTGTGTTAACTTTGCCAAACTGCCTTCCCAGGCATAGGAAGATGGCCAGGGTCACCTACTAGCTTTACCCTGATTCTGAAGAAGACTGATGTCTAGAAGTCTAGAATTTGTAATGTAGCAGTGCCTAACCTCTCACCTGCAGAGATGAATTTTTTCATTTCTATTTTAAGTGGAAAGGCCTTAAAAAATCTTTTATACTATCTTATATTCCGACCATTCCAATATTAACAATACTTAAGTCATTTGATTAAAAACTATGTCTTTTTATTTTTCCTATTTGATTAAAAACTATGTCTTTTTATTTTTCCTACTTAAAAAAAATTAAACTTCAGAACTGGCTTTCTAGTCTTTTGTCTGCCACACTTTATTGTTGCTTTGTATTTTTGTTTACTTGTCTGTTTTCCTTTATCATTTTTAACTTTATTCTCCGCCTAACATTGATGCTTGACTTGTGTTGCCCTTGCTTTTTTTAAATTTGCCTGTGTATATGTGTGGAGTGTGTATGTGTATGTGCACAAGTCATGTGGGTGTATGTGCTCATATGTGCACATGTATGTGAAAGCCAGAGGTCAACTTCAAGGTGTGTCCTCTATTGCTTTCTACTTTATTTGTTTTTAGTCAAGGTCTCTCATGGAACCCTGAGCTCGCTGGCTGGCTAGACTGACCAGGAGCTCCCCAGGAGTCCCCATCTCTGTTCCCTCTCCCCAACACTAGGGCTTATGAGATGCTCATGCCATGGAGCGGTCACTGAACCCTTTATATTTATGGTTTTCTAACACCAAGAAGGTTTTAATTCCATATTGAAATTATATAACTTTTCTGATCTTACAATATTCCAAATGAGATTCTTAGGACCTTTTTCCTCTAAGAAGAGTCACATCTTAGGAAGGTAGATGAATACATCATTGCCACCACTCATGCTAAGTACAATTACACCAGCATTTTAACTCTTAGCTCACCTACCCAATGTTATAGAATTCACAAGGCCCAGGTTCGGTCCAAGACTTGCCAGACTTTATTTTCTCCCACCAAACCATTTCTCCTAGAGTGTGAGAGCAAGGAGCAGGAAACCATGAATTTGGAGTGAGGGTGGGGGGCAAAGAAATACAGTCAAAGCAGCAGATGTGGCTAGGGAGAAGGTTACGCCAAAAGAGCTAATTCTGTTGAGAGTGTGCTACAGAAAGCCCAACCCTTGATCATGGCTTTCCAAGGGTATGTGCCATTTTGCCGTTTGCTAGCTTACTGAAGTATACCTATGAACCTGGGACTATGCTATATGTTCCATATGCATAATTTTATTAATTCTTATTTACATCATAAAGAATTGTAATTTATAAAGGTTAAATGACTCAAGGTATCATGACTTTCATTTACTCAACAAATATTGTTTGAACATAGACCTCTCATGGGCCGGTGAGTACACCATGCCCTAGAGATTTGGCACCGAAGCCCCTCTCCCTCAGGAGGTTCTCCATGAAGTATGGCAGATATTTATTATGCAGTGAGCTAAATCAGCCAACAAGAACCATAACTCTGTATTGAGTACTTTCATAAGGGGCTTTATAATTCGCTCTCTCAGCTCTGGGGCAAGCCCTACCATTTAATATGAAATGTTAGCTTTTTAACTTATGATGAAAATGCGACTTAAAAGACTAAATAATATAGCCAAGTCCACACATATATGGCAGGCCTAGAACTTAAAGGGGAAAGAAGATTTGTACAAAGAAATAGCGCTTTTTTTCAGATGGACCTATATTCAAATATTGCTAAGCACACCATGAATCTTGAGACACTGGTGACTCGGATGAAGTTTGAGCAAACCAGTGAGACAAGACAAAGTCTAGGGTTCTTTCGTTGGCTTTATTTTGTGGATTGGTGTTTTGCCTACATATATGGTTGTGCGCCACATGTATGTATTGGCCAATGAAACCAGAAGAGGGCGCTGGATTCTCTCAGACTGGAGTTTCAAGAGCACGTGAGCCACTATAGGGGAGCTGGGAAGTGAACCCAGGTCCTCTGGAAAAGCAGCCAGTGCCTTTAACAGCTTGAGCCATTTCTCCAGTCCTGATGTCTGAGTCTTTGAGCAACAGCTTGCGTGGTTGGGTACCAGAGATGAAAAAGGTGGGAGCTGAGAAAGAAGAGTCTAGAAGATTCTGCAATGGTCCCAGGAGAGACGTTGGGATGTGGAAGAGGAGGAATAAAGATGCTGAGCGGGGCTGGGATGCGAGAGACCTTTCGAAGAGAAACGCCAAGGATTTACAGAAGAAAGTGCTATGTCACTGTACTTTCCACCTTTATTTTATTAACTGGACATGAAAGTAACAGCACTTTGGAGAATGGACCGGCCCTGCTGTGCGATCCAGGGAAAGGCATTTAGTTTCTTTTGGACTTTAAGTCCTTCTGTCAAATAAACAACGTTGACTCCACAATCTCTATGGTCCTTTCTAGTCAGAAGTCTCTGCTAAGCACCAAATTCTTCAAGGTGGAAAAACCAATTGAGCCACCAGAGGTCTCCACATCACTTAACATATCCAGAACAACAAACTGCAAATCCTCTGTTCTAACCTAGTAAAACTGACTACACTTGCATAATACAAAACTCAAAGAAGAAAACAGGAGGTTAAAAATGTTTGCTAAATCTCTAACAAAACAATATTAGGAAATAAAATTTTAAATTGCCAAAAAATTCTTTAGTTTTTAAAAGTCAGTGACAGTTTACTCTGACCTCCAGAGAAAGGCAGCCCATGCCAGGCGACTGTACCTGCCCCCAGCCCTACAGCTCCCCTTCCCTTCCTGTTTAAATAGCCTCCAGTTTTACACCACGCTTGACTTTGTCCCTGTTAAACAGCTTTGCTGTCCCATTTCCCAGCTTTGGGCTTTGTTTTTTATGGTGTCCACCTCTTCTCAAGCTTTAACCTGTACACAAGAGTCAGGGAAAATGCCTCGCTGTATTAGGTCCATTTATCCAGTGAGGAAGACCAGGCCTCCCACCAACACCGAACACCAGTAAAACTAGTTTGCTCATTATTTCGTAACCACACCGGGCACACGTCCTTCCCACTGACTGATGAGTAAGAAGGAGAAGACTGCTAAACGATGACACTATGATCGTCTTGTTTTTCTTTTGTCCTAGAAAATGAAAGCATCGCTACGTCCACTCTAACAATGTGAGATTGTACTCCTATGATTCCTTTTCTAAATCTTCAGAGAGAAAATGCACAACGGAGGAAAGACTTTTATCAACACCACTTGGTGCCTCCTTCCCGATGGAACAAAACTGCCAGGTGGTGTAGGAAGCGAAAGTTAATGCTTAATGAACACTTGCCATGTATGTAGCCTTATTAAATTTCACAACCCCATAAAAAGGTGTTACTAACCTCATTCACCAGTGAGAACATAGATTTAGAGAAGCTGAAGTACTTTTCACACATGTAGGCAAGCAGCAAAAACCTGGAACAATCTGATAATTTTTATAACACTCATGTCTACTAATACTTACAAACTGCAGAATTTTGTCAAGTTCCAGAACAAAGCTGCTTTGTTAGAACATACATGTGGCTGGCGTGTGTTTATGTGAAGGTGTAAAAAATCTGGATTTTTCTAAAAGGCCTGCTTTAGATTCAAAATTACAAATTATTTAAGGTATTTAGATATTTAAACAAATTATACAAACATACAGGCACAGGCAGTAAAACACAGTGTTCAGCAATGGACCTTGTATATAATGATGATCCTGTAGGGTTGCAATGGAGCTGTTGATACATGTTTTTTGATGTACAGGCATCACTGTGACATAACTGCCTACGGCATTTAACACAGCAAATGCTAAACAGGTTTGCAGCTGAGAACCAACAGGCTCTACCATGCAGTCAAGAGAACTATGTGTGAGAGTCTCTTCCGTCTAGATTTGTACAAGGGCAGTCTATAATGTCTACATAAAATATATTTCTGTGAACATGCCTAGCTGTCATATAATACATGACCTATTCAACCCTCCCTTAAGTAATTGGCTTTTTGAAGACTTTTTTTTAAAGCTATATAATATACAATAATCATTGTCATAATCTAACCAACGTTTACTTTTAAAAATATAAAACTAATATCATATTCTTAGATAGCTACTCTTAGATTAGGCTTACTCGGTGTTGAAGATGGTTTAGTAGCATGTTTACAAAAACAACAAAGATTTCCATCAAACAAACAAACGAACAACCCCCCCAGACTAGAGTTGCTTCTGAACTGCCCAGACACATGCAATCCCAGGGACAAATGACCAGAGACCGCGCCCAACAGAGCTCTGTGCAGGGCAGGGCAGTTTGCTCCAGAAGCTCCAGTGGGAAAGGCTGAGTCTTGGAGACAAGGCCCAGATTACTAGTCTGCGCTAGGGTGTGGCCATGCTTCCTTAGTGCCTGAACGGCTGCAGGGATGCATATCTGAGTTAGAGTCAAACGGTGGAAAACTAAAATATTTAAATGTCATTAAGCTATTAGACCTATACATCTTAATCTTAGCTACTCAGACACAGAGACAGGAGAATTCCAAGTCTGAGGCCAATCTGGGCAGCTTAGCAAGGTTCTTTCTTAAAATAGAGTAAGAATTGCTGGGGGATATATGCAGTTACCTGACAGAACCCTTGCCTAGCATGTGTGGAACCCTGGGTGAAATTCCAGTACCACAAAACACAAACTAAAGCAGTCAGGAGCTCCACGTGGGGAAGAACTATAAATCCAAAATAAATATAATAAAAACAGGAATACTAAACTTAAAACTCCATAAATTCCAGCTTGGCACCACAATCCAAATACCTCAACTCAATTCCCTTACTGATCCAGCTATTTCCAGCAGGCTGAAAGCCACTTCGCTTGTGAAGTTATAGAACAAAGAAGACATTCTTTCCTTTGCCAGATGGAGAATGCAATTTTTTTTTTTTTTAAGAAATAGTCACGACACAGAAAGGAAATGTGGTAATGGCAGTCGGAGGCCACGATGAGGAACTGACGTACTCCGTTGTAATGCAGTTTCACCACGGACACGTACGCTAGACAGGAAAGGACAGCTGGGTGTACTTCCACATTCGGAGCTGGGTCTTAGGTTTGTCCTCTCAATTTAGAGGAGGGGACACTTTGTGTGTGTGTGTGTGTGTGTGTGTGTGTGTGTACGTGCGTGTGCGTGTGTGTGATAGCTTCCAAATCTGCAGTGGCAACAAGGTTGTTTTAAGTATAGGCTTGTTGGTCTTTTATAAAAAAAAGAAAACAGAGCTAGACCACACGAGCAGTTACTAAAGAAGGAAGAACCGTCCGTGCTCAGGGCACTTAGGGATAACAGCGTGAGCCTGCCCATCCTCTGTGGAAGAGCTCTGTGGTCTAGCACTAAAGGCTCTGAGAAAGACCCCAGTTCTGTATTTGCCTCAGTGATTCCTGAACTACCGCCGATCAGACCCAGCTCCGGCCCCCAGTAGGATTAGCCCGTAAGTATCCTGCTACATTTTATGACAATGTTGACAGATGCTAAGCTGATTTTAAAAGTGGGTAGGTGGACATAAAGACTAGTAAAAAGATATCTTTCAAGGAGGCAGAGAGCAAGCAAATCTCCAAAGAATTCATGAGGGTTTAAACGTATTTTAAAGTCTGGTTTACTCCTGTACATCACTTGATATTGCTAGTTCTCTATAGATGGTTAAACAATTAAGCTATCCAGAAAGTCAGAATCGTATTTTAAATGCTACATTCCTGCCCCTTAAGAGCACAAGCCTCCACTCAGAATTCTGCAGTACCCATAGAAGTTTAAGCTATTCACTGCCTAATCCACAGATGCAACTGGGACACCACGCTAGTGCCTTAGGTCCCAATACTTTAACCTTCACCTTCCGTCTTGACTTAAGGGTTTCACTTATTAGCTGAAACCAATTCTTAGGGTCTAAGAATTTGGTCCAAATTTTGAAAATGTTCTAATTATTTATTCACTTTAATTCTTCCCCTACATCTCAAAGACTGTCCCGTGGACTATGATGTGAGCCACACAAAACTTCTTCAGCATTCCCAGGTGCAAGCGCACACTGTCACTGAAGGCATCTACAGCTGATGTCTCCGTCACATCTCAGGCACTACCTCTCCATTTTCACACTACTCTTCAATGAAGCTGGCTCCACCAGCTACCGCTGCTCCTTTAGTCAGGTGTGGGACAGACAGCGAGGCATGAGTCGGCATTAGAATGTAGAGGGGTGAGAAGCGGGGAGGCAAATTTTACCTGCCAGAGTGATTAGCATGTTGGAGGTTCTCAGAAGTTACATGCATTTGCTGGCTTGATTCCAAGAGCGAAATCCAACAGCAGGGACTTAGAAAGGCAATCTAGGAGACCGGGAGGACTTTTAAAAGTGTTGGGCTGCCACCTCTAAGCGTGGATTCAGTCCGGTGAGAGGCTGCATCTTAACAACTTACCTCAACTTCCACCTTTGTGAAGAGCTGACAGAAAGTAAGCACACACAACTGGATGCTGAAAAGAAGAAGAGAGACGGCTCTTCTCAGACAGCCAGGCAGGAACCATCCGTGATTTACACCCAGGCATCCCCCGCATCACACTGCATGCAGAGTTTGCATTTAACTAGGCTGCACTCTAGCCATGACCCCTCTTTTTCTGGGTGAGACAACTATTCTTGTTATTGAAAAACTAAATCACCAAACACCATCACTGTGCTGGATTGGTGGAGCGAAAGGAATAGCTCAAATAGACCAAACCTCAGGTTTACAGTCTCCTTGACAGCACACGCTCTAAGTCTCAAGAGAGAACACCCAATGTCTACTTTAATATATGTAATTGTGCATGGGAGACAGGGCTGGGAGCTGGCTGCTCTTCCAGAGAATCTAGGTTCAGCTCCCAGCACCCAGATGGCAGTGTGCACCTGTCTGTAATTCCCACCCCAGGTGATCCAATGCCCTCCTCTGACCTCCCTGGGCAATAGACATGCACGTGGTACACAGGGACACATGTGGGCAAAACACCATACATGTCAAGTCAAAATTAAAAAGTCTAAAATAAGCTATAAAGGTACATAAGTGTATTCACAGGAATGCACCTTAGTACACTGGACTTCTAAATTCTTTGGGTAACAACTTTCAAAATATCAGCGAGATTTTTTTCCTTATAATCACAAATTTTATCAAAGTTGTCTCAGTAATAAGGTCTGAGCTATGGGGAAATGTCCTGAAAACTCGCAAATTTCATTGTCAATCTGGACAAAGGGCTTCTCAAAGTGGTTGACCAACCCATCAACAATAGTTTTTGAGATAAATGTCCTTCCTTACAGCTTCCTGAGATTTAGACTCTGAGCCAGATGTCTGGAGGATTTTCAGTTTAGCCTCTTTAGACAGTTGACCCAGAAATCAAACAGAGTGGATTAGACCATAGGTTTGAGAAAACAACCAATCTTTTTTTTTAATTTTAATTTTTTTTGCTATAAAAAATGAAAGAATAATTTACCTGTAAAAAATGATCTGAAGGGACTAACAAGTAAGTTAGGAAACCCACCAAGGAATATTGGCTACAGATGGATACAGAGTGTTCAGTACCTTCAGCTGTGTACCCATTGGTCAGTCCACCAGGCTCCAGGGGATAGTTATAAACCCGAGGTCATACAGACAGCTCTGGTTAAACTCAGTGAGCCACAGAACAAGCAAAGGGACATGAATGTAGGAAAGGGACTTGTACAGAGGAGGACAGGTTGATGGGGGTGGGGAGGGAAGAGGTGAGGAATGACAAACTCAGAATGCATCATGTATGAAACAGCCAAAAAGAATTTAATGAATTTCCTATTTAAAAAAAGAAGGGATTTGTGAGTTCCATTTAAGAGTTGTAGAGTTAATTATGATATGGAAATGTGTCTGTTGCCACGCTTACCATCTGAAAGGGGATACTACGCATAAGCTCCAAGTCACACCAACCTATCTTAACCATGATCAAACAGTCTTCTCTTAAATGTTTTCTATTATTATGTTGTATCTGAGTGTTTTGACTGCATGTATGTCTGTGCACCGTGTGTGTGCAGTACCCAAAGACACCAGAGAGGTCACTGAATGTCCCGGAATTGGAGGTGCAGACATTGATTATGAGAGGCCATGTGGGTGCTGGGAATTATACGTGGGTCCTCTGCAAGAGCAGCCAGTGCTCTTAACCACTGAGCCACCTCTCCTGCCCAGGAGAAGTATTTTCAATCATTTACATAGGGCCTTGGAGTTAATATTTGGACAGATGCAAATTTTGTTCTTAAAAGTATGAAGGTTGAACATAACAAGTCACGAAGTTTGCCTTGTTCACAGAACAGTGATCAGATTCTCCTTAGAAAGCTGCCTTCCACAGCTCTGTCCCTTCTCTAAGCTTAGTTTCCATGCCCCTTTTCCCTGGGGGTATCAGCTTTGGTGAAATTACACTGTTTTGGTGAACTAGCAACTGAGAACATAGATTTGAAAGTTGGAGATACAGTGCTACCAGCAGCATTCAATAGCTCTGAAGGCAGGAAGGAACAGGACTTGCCATGGAAAGGGCCATGTGCATTTGCACATAACAAATTTGAGCTTTTAAAACATCTTGTCACAAGGTATCTTTGATACTTAATATTTCTTCCTCTCTTTCCTGAATTCACGTTCCAATTTTTTCTTTTCTTTTAACTTTTATTCTTCTCCTCTCTATTATATCCTGGCTGCCATTTCCCCTCCCTCCTCTCCTTTCAGTTCCTCCCCCGACTCTTCTCTCTCACAGATCAACTCCTCCTGTCTCTGCCCACCCTCCCCAGAAAAAAAGCAGGCCTCCAGGGATATCCACAAAACATGGCCTAGCAAGATACAATAGGACTGGGCACAAACCCTCATTTCATGGCTACACATGGCAACCCAGTAGGAGAAAAAGGGTCCCAAGCACACCCAATTTTATTTTTTCCTTTATTACTCCCCAGGCTAGAAAGCTGTACTCCTAAGCCACTCTGTGTCCTTCCCCTACCCACTTCCAGAAAACATTCTTCTATTTGACCTTCACAACCACCCAGACTGCTGCACAATGACAAAGCCATGCTCTCCACAGGGCACCTAGTCTAGAAGTGCCCAATGGATGGCATGCATTAGCAGATACAAGTTGGTACCCACTGAAATCCCAGACACTGTGTTTCTGAGATGATCATGTACCACTTGCTTCATGAGGGCTTTTGTTGTGCAAGAGTTAAAAACTAGCAATTCAAAGTTAGTAGTGGCATGGAACGCGCATCTAGTCAGAGGAGTAAAACTGGCTTCTGGAGAAGTGGAAGATCACACATTACGTACATTATGTAACACATTTCCTTCCTCATGTCTTGTTTCTAGCACTATCTGCCAGAGTCGGTGAAGCTCTAAAGGAACATGTGTGTTCTATATGCATTAATGTTTTGTTCAACTGCCCTTAAGTTACCTTTCTGATTTAAACATACTATTTCAGAGAAATGTCTGCACACACACAAAAGGAGAAATACACGCAATTTCCCCCTCTTTGTATACAAGAGAGTATACAAATGATGTGTAAAGAAGCTAGAGCGTGCTAGAAAGCAATGCAGATTTCCTCCAATACTCCCATTGGCAATGTTATTTGAGTTCTGTTATTTGAGCATTGTCAAAACTGGGTAAGGCCCCTGGGGAAAATTTCCAAACCCACATTTGCAAGGCTCTCACTGAAATTTAAGTAGGCTCACACCTTTCTAGAGGGAGCTAAACAAAAGGCCTTGGAAGACAGCTGGAGTCTACTGTTTCATTGACTTCAGCTTGTTCAATGGTGAAAACACGCCTCACCTCTCTAAGAGCTCCAGAGCTGCCGATCCCTGCGCTTTCAGGATCTGGGAATGGGGCAGAAGTCCTGGGTAGCCATTTCCTCAACAAACAGACAGGCCACACCAGTGTCAGGTCCCGCAACTGGTGCAATCTACACGGCTTCAACTAACCTCATAAAATCTGAACAGAGTACGGGATGCTAAATCTACAGTGGGAATGAGAGTGAAAGATTCAAGCTAAAGCACGATGTGAGCCAGAGCCCCGGAATGTTCCTTACACACTGGTCAATAAAACAGTGAAGCCAGCGGACAGCTAGTTTTCCTCAAATGGTATTAACAGACATCAGTCTCGCTGGGCAGTTAGTAGGTGAGAAAGCGATACTGTTCCTATAGATATGGCTAAGAGACTAAAGATTGATTAGAAATGTTTACTTTTACAAAAATAAGACTTTTTAAATAGAAGGAATAACTAATATTTCTTCATTAAGATAGTTTGCATAAACGATTAAACTGTGTACGTGACTTACAATGTATATCCTTGCCACGTCCAGGTCACAGTGTCCTAAAACAGCAGAAGTCAAACAGTTAGTCTAGACTAGGACAGACTCCTATACTTTCAGCAGAGGAGAAATGCAGGCAAGAAACCATTTTTTAGCTACACCATGAGTTCAACACCAACAGGGGCAACCTAAGACCCTGTCTCAAAAATAAATAAAACAAAACAAACAAAAATTAAACAAAATAAAACAAGGCTTTATTTAACATTAAGATTCATGTTTCTTGGGACAAAAGCAACGTATTAAAAATAATAAATTTGAGCCGGGTGGTGGCACACGCCCTTAATCCCAGCACTCGGGAGGCAGAGGCAGGTAGATCTCTGTGAGTTCGAGGCCAACCTGGTCTACAAGAGCTAGTTCCAGGACAGGCTCCAAAGCTACAGAGAAACCCTGTCTCAAAAAACAATAATAAATAAATAAATAAATAAATAAATAAATAAATAAATAAATAAATAAATCTCTTTAAAAATAATAAATTTGTAATTATTAAAGGATGTGAACTAATGTATAAATTCCTGAACTACACAGATTATACAGCTACACAGCAATCATTTCCCAACTTCATATGTTTTCATGGAACAGCTTGTTCTGAATTAAAAATAATTATTGTACATGTTCAGTTACTTTTTTCCCCAAATGAGCATATCTGAAAAATTAATTTCTGTGCATATGTGTGTAATATATATAATTTCTCAAGTATAAAAAATGATTATTTAAAAGAAAGCACCAAAGCAGTATATAGTAAAAGAGTTTTAATATATAAAAATTCAAATGTATAGGCAGGAGCCAGAGTAGAAGCTTGACGGACTTTAACCCCTTTTTTCCTGGAGATGCTCAAGCTGAGAAACCAGCCATCGAACAGAAAGCTGAACTGGCCAAGAACTCGTAATCTTAAATAGTATGCGTTACAGTTACAGTTACTTTTGCCTTTTTAGAACCTTCTGGTAGGGTCCTTTCAGGATGACCCCAGTGTCAGGGGAAGTCAGTGCGACTGATGTCCAGAGGATAACAGTGTGACCCCAGTATCTGGGGAAGGGCCGTACAACTGATGTCCAGAGGATAACAGTGTGACCCCAGTGTCTGGGGAAGGGCCGTACAACTGATGTCCAGAGGATTACAGTGTGACCCCAGTATCTGGGGAAGGGCCGTACAACTGATGTCCAGAGAACAGTGCAAGCAAGTGATGCAGAAGACACTGTTTCCTGGAGCAGCCTTAAACTTTAGACAAGAGGGGAAGTTCTCTAGGACTTAATTAATCACGCTGCTCCCCAGGCTCTGAGCCTGCACTTGCTTCCTCCCCCGGGTGAATCCTCCTCTACTTCCAGCCTTCCTCCCACTAGTCACCTCTGTATCTGGAAAAGGTTCCTTGTCATCTCCACGAAAATCACAACTTCCTGCCGCCGGGTATAATCAGAGCCTACGTATGAGACGTAATCTGTCCGTCACAGACATGGCACAGCAGAGACCAAGCGATGCCCTGCTGGAGCTAAGTTATATACAATGACACTTAGTTCTGCTCTCACAGATAGCTGTCTATCTTGCAAAATTAGAAAAAAGTCAACCCAGCGGCAGGTGGCCTCAGTCTACCCAGCTGCTTCTTTCATTTAGCCAAGCATCAATCAGATATTTAAGCAGGTCCCAGAGGATAAGCTATTTGGAGAGCAGAATTCTTCCCTTACCAGTTTGTTTGGGTATCTGAGGAGGATGGGCTGCACTGGAACTCCTGGAATGAAGGCTCCTAGAATCACATCGAGATTGTTAGCATGGTTTGTATAGGAACAAGAAGCATATAATAGTAAAAATTGTATAAATACACTGACAGCTTAAGAGTAGACAAAACATGAACCATGCTGAAATATTTACCAAAATGAGTCATCACAAGTCAGACTTAAGGCAAACATTAAATGCTGTGCCTCAACCACCTAAGCATATATTTATTCACTGTTTCCTTTGATAAAGAAAATTAAAGACATTTATTTCAAAACAATTCTTTAGTATACATATAATTTGTACCATTTTTTATTTATTTTAGGAGTTGTTATCATTTCCTAAGTGTATGCTGCCCAACAACATAAGAAAGTTATGGTAAAATCAAGGAGAGAATAAAATCAAAGAGAAAATAAGAACTAAAATGCTGGAAGCAAAACTAGTACATTGGCTTGAAGCGAGGCACACCTTTGGCGCGGAGCACACCAGCAGCCAACATAGACAGCCTGGAGTGTCGCAAATTAAAAGGCACATCCATGGCTGCCCTCTTAAGATTAAAAGACTGCTGCAGGCTGCCTACTTATGACAGAAGACCCCCGGTATCTGAGGGTCCTTGGAGGAAAGAGAAAAATGTCAGTGACTTTTGAGCATGCACACACATATATACACATAGACACACATACACACAGACATACATAGACAAACTAACAGATACACACACACACACACACACACACACACACACACACACACACACCACTGAAAGGAAAAGCCTATGTCAAAAAGGAGAGCAAAGAAGTAAATAGGAATAAGTTCTGTGGAATCACAGCATCAGAAAGGTTTTATAAGAAAAGGAATGCCAGGAGCAAATGAGTTGCATTGTGCATCACAAGCGAATCATTTGAGAAATCTCAAATACTATATTGTTACAATGCATAATTTAATTTATCTCACCTGGTTTAAAAGTAATCAAACAGGAGCGATTAGTACAAGTACCTTCTGGGAAAACAAGTATCTTGGGAGAAAAGGAATAAATTTAATATTTCAATCCAATTAATAGGCTACCTCTTTATTCTCCTATGACGTCACCAACACCGCTAATGCTTCAAAGATTAAATAAAAAGCTAACTCATGATCCTAACAAAAACTGGAATCAGATTGTTCCATCTTCCTCGAAAAGAGGTACAGGTTGACTAGTCTAATAATTAGAAGACAGTTAAAGCTTTAAATAAACAATACTCTTGGTTTACAGAATATGTGGCTTACTTCTGCTTCTTTTACATTTGTTTCTGAATGTTTTTATTAGTGATCGGAATAAATTTAAAAGAAGACATATCGCAAGGTTATGTCCTTAACCTAAAGAAATCGTTGCGCTATAGCTTTCTCGTTAAATGCTATTTACTCCCAGTCTATATTTCAGGGAGGCCTTGCGAACAAAGGAGGAAACGCCTGCTGCCACACGCCTTCTGCTCAGCTGCCTTGGCTATCGTGCGGGACAGACTTCCAGCTTGCTCTGCCTGTCCTGAGGAGGCATTTTAGCTGTTAATGTGCTACTTGACGTTTTCTCTGTGAAAGACATACAAGCATTGTGAGCTTCGTCTCCATTAGTTAAGACACAAGATTAGTCTTGTCTGAAGCTTTTAAAATTTAGTCATGAGTTAACTGCTAAGTATATAAAAACCAAATCAAATCCCTGTACTCAAAGCAGTTAGTGATATATGATCTACAATAATTAGAGAGGGAAAACAGTGGCTCAAACGACAAACTAAAAATTAATGAGTGGGCATAATTCCATCCCCTAATGTATAACATGGGTTTCCTGTGACAAGCAGACACAATGGCCAACAGTTTTCCTTGGCATAAGTCCACAAATAGCTTACTATCAAGGAATGTTAACAAAGCGAGTCAGAAATCTCAAGGAAGAAGGAACACTCAAAACAGCCTAGTGGCTCTAATGTTTAAATTATTTCCACAGTTTTCTCCCCTCACCAAGTGGCTGTGACCCAGGACCTGAGAAGGATTGCAAACCAGGCCATTTTTATTCCCAGACAGGGAAAAAGTTCTGCAAAACGAGAAAAAAAATGAGCTGAAATCTATCTTCTTGTTATCTCTCGCCTACTAATCTTAGACCTAGTTCTTGGAGCCAAACAGAAAGTCTAACTTTTCCAAACGCCACCTCACTTGTTTTTGAGCTACACCTCTGTTGCCTTGGTTTCTAAAGCCTCCGGGGTAGGTGCACTCGAATGTCTATGTGTTATCATAGGTGGGCCAACCGCTGTAGCACACTGTCCACTAGAGAACACACGCTTAATGTCGCTATGTTACCATAGGTGGGCTGACCACTGTAGCACTGTCCACTAGAGATCACGTACTTTCATCTGGGCAAAGACACACGGGTGTGTGTCGCAATCATCTCTGTTCTATGCAGTACTGACCTCCAAGGGCCTCCCAGGGAAAGGGTGGGGGTTGGTGAGGTCTGATAGGGTTACAGGCTATTTTCATGTGCCCTTGAATGGAAAGCTCTACTTAAACATAACTCAGAAAAGATTTGGTACACTTAGAATATTTTTAGTCAAGTGAGTTAAATTATATAAAATATTCATTTTATGTAACAATGATTAAATTCAGAGAATCATTTGTTGCAACACAAAGAAAATATCTGGCGACTAAAAGGGAATGGTATGTGCAGGGGCGGGGTCTTCACATTGACTGGCTTGCGTCAGTTAATAATTCTGCGTCTATTAAGCTGTGGACACATGGCATGACATCTCGCTCTCTGTGAACATGAATGACTAAGTCTACAGACACACAAAAGCTCTCGATGTGTATGAATGACTCCTGCATCTCACCTGGGGCCATTCCCCTCCGGATGTCGCTCGTTTTCTGATTTCATTTATTGTGTTTTTTCGGGAATCTGGGTCGACACGGGACACCAAAACCGGCTGCACAGCCCGCAACAGTCCTTGAAAACAAAGTCATAATCCAGTCATTTTTCTTAAGCCGCCATGCCATTAACACCGGGTAAACTGAAAGAATCTGTTTACAGAAAATGAAAATGTTAGCAAATCCCAGAGAACAATATTTTTCAACTCAAATTCAAAGTTAACCAGTTAGATTCTAATCTCAGATGCAGAGATGGGTATTATTTCATTGATTTTACAGAAGTTAGAAGAAGGAATGGGGGTGTCGAAGGGGAGGAAAAACTATTTTTGCTTTCCTAAGAGTCTTTTCTCTTAGCGGATGTTAAACTGTGGGACTAAGCTTCAAGCTATCACGTTTGATTTTAGGAGGACCTTAAACACTTGGAGTATGAACCGATCGTGTACATCAGTAGAGGGCAATCATGACTAATTTTTACTCAAATCCTTCTGAAGAGATCGCTTCCCATCACATGCTAAATAAACGTGAAGGACTCTGCAAGGGAAATGTTTAGGAAAAAGCCATAATGCAGAAAGCACGCTAGTTGCACGCTGAGGAAAAAGAAGTGTCCGCACTCAATGACAAAACGACAAGGGCTCCTGTTCTTCCCGAGGAACACTGAGACAACATCCAGCAGCTTACACACCCACTCGCTCAGCACTCGGTGCTTGCGGGAACCTTGGGACAACCGGGAGCAGTTACTTGGAGACTGATTCCTCAGGGAGAGATAGTAGCATCTGGCAGGAAAAACATTTCACGCGCTTCATTATTTTTTATGGCAGGAAGCCCTTATCGTTCCACACCATCATTTTCAAGGAGTTACACAAACGTCCCTCGGGGAGCGATAGGGGCACAGTAATTTAGAAAACAGAGCTGGAAGAAAAGACTTAGCACATTCATCAGCCTAATGCCACGAAGAGAGGTTCATGAAACAGCATGTGACCTGTGTTTTTCAGATTCTTCAAAAAAAAAAAAATAAGCATGTTTAGTGTCTGAAATCTGATTTTCTTATGACACGTAGAAACACAAAGATGTGGCGGTATTGTGAAAGTACAAGTTCCCTAAAAGTCTAAAGATTAGGGGACATGTCTAATCTTTTTTCTTTACATAGAGTAGCTCATTTAAGTAAAAGGGGATACATTTAAAATCTTTTAAAGTTTTATTTTCAACTGGCTGGGAATTTTGCTCAGTATTAGACCACTTGAACTTGCATGTCCAAGATCAGGGGTGGAATACTTAGGAATGAAAGCAAATAAGTATACAGAAAATGATGCTATATGATTCTTTCTACTTAAACTGCGCACATGATAAGATTTAAACTGTTACCCTACGGGTACTTACTGCCAACCAGAGGGGTCTGTGCATTCTCATTGCGCGACACCAGAGAAGGCAGCCCAGCTACAATGCAGGCAATTCCATCGAAGAACGTTGAATGAGGGGCGACAACAAAAATGGGTGCTTCCGCGGGGCTGGCGATCTTCCCCTTCACAGTCACCACAAACCCCATGGAGAAGAACAAGGCGCGGCCCAGAAACTTCAAAGCTGGCTGAGCAATCTTCCTTTGAAAACAGTGATAGAAAAGATGTGTTTGGCTTTGCTTTCCTCTAACTCTGGTTATCAGGCTGGGCAGCAAGCATCTCTTTCCCTTCTGAGCCATCTTGCCAGCCCCATTAACCTCATTATTCAAATTTAATCTTATTTATATGTAGCTTTATCTGTGTATGTCACAGACATATGGACGCCCAGGGAAGTCAGGAGGGTATTGGATTCCCTGAAGCTGAGTTACAAAGGGGTGGTCAACTACCCAGTGCTGTCCTCTGGAGGAACAGCCAACAGGCTCTACCCTTGAGCCATCTTTCCATGTCTGCATTTTGAAGCTAAGAGAACTGAGGCACAGAGAAGCAATTTATCCAAAGACGTATGGCTAATAAAGAACTCCATTATTCTCTAAGCCTGAAATGATCATAAAGAATCTTCAAACTACATCCCACACTGAGATCACCAACATCAGTACTGGCCGTAGGAAGCAGTCTTCTTGGGAATGAATTCCTCCTGCAAAATGAATGTGCTATTGTCTACCCAAACAAGAAGTCTCATGCTAAATTAATTTAGGAATAATTCTTAGAGGTAAATCTCATAGTGTGATAGCCTTTAGGCACCAAGATATAAAAATAAATAAAATAATAAATAATAAATAAACTCACTATTGCACTTCTACTGAACTTAGATACACAAGAAAGTCCAGAAGCCTCCTTATTTACTTTTTAAAAACATTTTAAGATAAACTAACATTAAAGATTAGTTATCTGAGCTGGCAAGATGGTTCACCAGGTAAATTCATTTGCCACTAAGTATGATGACCTAAGTTCAATATATAGAACCCATAAAGTAGAAAGGAACCAACTATGACCTCTGCAGGGGTGCAGTGGCATATGTGCACATGCATACACACATATACACACAAAATAGTGTAAAAAAGATTACCACCACACTGTGCGAAGAGCTATGTTGGACATTTAAGCCAAGTAAGGTCCAGTCTATTAATTAATATGCTTAAATAAACAGGGAATCTGAGTTCCAGGACAGGCTCCAAAGCTGCACAGAGAACCCCTATCTTGAAAATACGAAAGAATAAAATAAAATAAAAGTAAAAATAAGTAAATAAATAGAAAATACAAAATATTCTCATAGCATTTAGATTCCAAAGCACAGAATGGATACCTCGGATATCAACACTTATTATGGAGCATCCAGACATGGCATGTCTCTTACTGTCTTGAAATAAGAACAGCTGTAAGCCGAATGGTGGTGCTCGCTTTTAATCCCAGCACTCACGAGGCAGAGGCAGGCGAATCTCATAAGTTCGAGGCCGGCCTGGTCTACAAACCTACAAACTGAGTTCCATGACGGCTAGGGCTACCCAGAGAAACCCTGTGTTGAAAAACTAAAAAAAGAAAAGACCAGTTGTAATGATCCCAAGAAGCCCCTCACAGACTGGGCCCACTGTACTCCCTTATGGAGAGGCAAGAGTGCTCACAAGACATGCGGAAAGCAGTGCATGGAAGCTTCAGGCTCACTAACGGCTCGCTTATGCATCCTTCCCTCCAGACACAGAAGCAAAAAGCAACTGCTGGGGTGGAAGTGGGGCTTGCACCTTTTCTGTGGTGCCCCCACCTCCCTTAACTGTACCTTCCATAGGCAACCTCGCCTCCATCCTCCAGCAAGCTTCCCCATTAAGCTCATTGGTTCCCTAAGCTAGACTTGGGTGGAGAATCATGTCTTTGGTCTGTCACCAGTGTCCTATCTGAATGAACAGACCTTTGTTCACATCTCTACTTAACAAAACAATATGGCTTTTTGTGGAATGTAAAATAAAATATGCACAGCCGTCCTTTAGTAATTGTGGAGAACAGACTCCACAGCCTGGCAAAGAGCACCATCCACAAATGCACAAGCCTTTCATATAATGCCAGGATGCATATGCTATCCCTACTGTTCTGCAGACTTTCAAACACCTCTAGAGTGCTGATAATACCTAAGATAATATGAATGCTATGCAAATAGGTCTGATAGTATATCGTTTAGGGACTATTAATAAGCAAACAGTATATCCATGTTCCGTAGAGATGTTATCTTTTTTCTGAGCTCTTTGATCCACAGTTGGTTGAACTGCAGATGCAGAACACACTGCTGACTATATAGCACCTATTCGGTATTGGAAAGAACTTGAAACACTGAGTTCCTAATTTTCTTAGCCAGTGAAAGTCTTCTAGTAACTAGCCAGGGAGGAAGCTTCTGCGGTGCTGACCTCCCAAGAAGTGAGGCCCAGTAAAGAAAGCAGAGTGCTTTCCGGAGGGCGCGGGTAAGTGACAACCTCTACCTTTAGTCTAGGGGCGAGCGCTCTGCACATACAGAAGGTACTCTGCTGGGCTGTCATGCTACTTAGCTATAGCGGTACAGCTTCTAAGAAACATATCTCAAGAAGTCAGACCCCTTAAAGACTTCTATTTACATGTATTTTAAAATGCACAGGGGGAAAGAGCCATGTAAACCTGATGAGTTGGAGCTCCAGAACCCACTTTAGAAGCCAGACACAGCAAGGTGCATCTGTAATCAGAATGGGAGGTGGAGACAGTGGGCTAGTGAGCATGGCCTATGCTCTCATCACAGAAACATGACAAGGGGAAAGATGAGAGTCAACTCCCAAATGTCCTCTGACACCCACATACGTGCTGTGGCACACATACAAACCCAAGTGTGTGCACGCACAATTAAGAAAAAAATTTAATAGCTGAAAGTCTTGTGCCACATAATAACTTCAAAATTATTTGCATCAGAGGAAACAGAGATGCTGATTTAACGGACAAAAGTGCAAGTTGTCTAAAGCAAAATCAATAAAATATTGAAAAGAACACTTTTCTAAGTTTTTTCTAGATCCTTAAACTATCCTTGCCCTCGCCCTACATTTTTGTGAGCCAGCGACTCTAAAACCAAAGGAAGAATCTGAAAGCAGAGTGAATCACGGAAAGCAGCCCATGAAGCGTTGCTTTACGCTGTGCTTCCTCGAGCTATAAAACAAAGAGAGACGATGTGCAGGGACTGAGTTTTCTCTGGGGCGTTGCCGACACTGCATTTATTTCCACTTCAAACCAGCCTTGTTTTCCATATTCGCATTTGTTCACTGGGACAAGAACCAAACAGCAAACCGCACACTTCTATTAAAAGCGGTCGAGCAGGGGTTCTCAACCATTTTTGGAGGGCACAACCGCATTTGAGACCTGCACAGAATGAACAACACATCCTTGCATCTGAAGCAAGCAAACAAACACCATGCACAATTTCAGGAACTCGTGAGTGTTCTAAAATAAATGCATGGATTTGCAACCTACTAGAATCCATGACGTGCATAGGAAGCAGGCCCATGTGCAATACGTACAGAGGGTGATAACCTGATCCTGCCAAAAAGGAATGACTTTCACCAGTATATTCTACTTATTCTTGCCCAGTCTGCTGTCTAGAACCATCCTAATTAGATAATTCTAGAAATTCTAGAAAAGCAGTTCCATTCGCCTTAGTGATAACATTTGAAAAATGCTAGGCTGAGTGGTAATTAAAGTTAATATTAACCACTAACATAATTAATAAAAAAATAATATAATCAATCCACTTAACTGTATTATTGCAGAAGGCACATTGTTGTTACCGCGAAGGAAAAGTAAATGTGAAAATTTGAAAAAAAAAAAAAGCCAAGTATCTTATAGCTATAATGTTTCAGATAAAAACAACAGACTGTATTATTAGTCAGACTGCATCAGTGTATCACAAGGCCCAAAACAAGCAGCTAGGAAGGAAGAAAGATTTATCTTTTAGTTCATGGCTTTAGAGGTTTCAGTTTATAGTGATCAGTTCTGTTCCGGGGACATGGTGAGATGGGGCTTCACGATAAGAGAATATGGCAGATGCTACTCACCTTACAGTAGACCGGAAACAAAGAAAGCAAATATAGAAAGGGGCTAACTCCTCCTTCCTCAGGACACACTCCTAGTAACCTAATTATTCCAACTAGGCTAGGCCCTTCCAGATTTTCACTACCTCCTAATCATGCCATCATATTTTGGGTCCATCAAGAGATTAATCCTTTGATCAGGGCACAGCCCTCAGGATACAGTCACTTTCCAAAAGGGTATTGGCTGCCAACAAAGCTTTTAGTCCATGAAGCAACTGGAGACATTCATTCCATGTAAAAACACAACACAGGGACTCTTTCGCAACCAAAGGTGCATATCCTTCACCATAATCCAGAAAACAAAATGTTTTAACATTAAGAAATTATACTTCTGTGAGTTCAAGCCTAGCTATAAGAACTAGTTCCAGGACAAGCTCCAAAGCTACAGAGAAACCCTGTCTCAAAAAAGTCCCCCACAGAAAAAAAGAAAGAAGAGAAAAGAAATTATACCTCGAACTGAATATTATCAAAATGTGTCTATGCGATAATTTCTGAAAAAAAATCAAGGCCATTTCCACGCAAGAAACAAATATAAACTATGAAAACTGAATAGCGGCAAGCTACTGAAGAAAGAATAATCAAATAGTCACTGTAAGAGACTAAAATCAAAACTTAAATTTTTGACTTGTGTAATATTTGGATATAATTATCTCTTACCTCCTCCAACCACTGATCGGATGGGTCAACTTTTCAGGGCAGCATGCTGTTGCAAGTGCAGCAAATGGCCATGCCAGTAACAAAATTAATGCAACCAATATTATACGGACTGGAAGCAGAATAATTCCAAGAAGAAAAATCTGCAAATCAAAGTTGACAAAAAAAGATATATGGATGTTATTTAAATAAATCACCACCAAACACAAAAGCATAATAGCAAAGTTTTGGCTTCATGCATGTACTCAAGGAGGAATTAAATGTCTTGTATCACTCACACACACCACACACGCACACACACACACACACACAACATGATATGGCATGACATTTGATCTCAGTGGGCTACTATTTGCTGGGCATTGTAGTATGTCAATCCCAGCATTTTTCAGGTAGAAGCAGGTGGATTTCTATGGGATCTATATGAGTTAGAGGCCAGCCTGGTCTACATAGTGTGTTTCGGGTCATCAGGGCTACATTGTGAGATTCCCATCTCAAAAAACAAAACAAAACAAAACAAAAATAACACAAAAGGCAAAAGAAGCAGTGAGATTCTGATCTGGATGTTCGTAAGAGGGAATGGAGGATGCTGGGAGAACAAAGAAAAAGTGGCGTGACTTAGGAGCCAGAACAAGCTTCCTGGAGGAGTGGTATCCTGAAGAGTCCTGCAAAAGCAGAAGGTGTTGCCGGGTCTTTGGCTCTAGCTACTGGAGAGGCTGAGGCGGGAAGAGCAAGTCCAAAGCTGCCTAAGCTAGAAGAGAAGGGAGCTGGAGCTCGATGCCTCAGTGAGAAAGTGCTTGCCTAGTATGCACAGCTCCTGCAGTTGGTCCCAGAGTGCTTGCCTAGCATGCACAGCTCCTGCAGTTGGTCCCAGAGTGCTTGCCTAGCATGCACAACTTCCGCAGTTGGTCCCAGAGTGCTTGCCTAGCATGCACAGATCCTGCAGTTGGTCCCAGAGTGCTTGCCTAGACAGTTGGTCCCAGAGTGCTTGCCTAGCATGCACAGCTCCTGCAGTTGGTCCCAGAGTGCTTGCCTAGCATGCACAACTCCTGCAGTTGGTCCCAGAGTGCTTGCCTAGCATGCCCAGATCCCGCAGTTGGTCCCAGCATAGCTAAACACAAAGCAAACAGATACTGTTTCCCAAAAGCTACACAGGAAGAAGAGTGGGAATAAAAACATTAGTGAATGATGGATTGTTCTGCTTCCCATGCCTGCCAGTGCCGTGTAACTAAGCAATAAGGAACTGGAGAACAGAATAAAAATAAAAAGTAAATAAGAATAAAAAGTACATGAATAAGACCAGTAAATCATATGTAAACGTTACTGTGTGTCAGGTGTATGGCATAGTGATTCATTTAGTTCTTAAGATCTTAAATTGCTTTACATGAAAAGAATGCCATGGATAAATCAAATCACAATAAAATCATGTTAATATCAACAGAAGTGGGACCAAATTTATACTTAAAACCTTTGCTCCCAATCCTTACACCATCCTGCCTTTTAGGTGGACAGTCATTATGTATAATAACCCTTTTTTCCTAAAAATTAATTACATGATCCAAACAGCGCCATCTGTCTTCTGTCTGTATTGTCCTCAATGGAAACCTAAATATCATCAAATAACTTGCAAAAATGCCCACACTATTCTAGTTTTCTTAGTTGCTGCAGTTTTTAGGTAGGACTTCAGTTCAAGGGGTGGTGTGTGATCTCTATTTTTTTTCTTCTTCACCTTATTTGAAGATATGTCAAGATTTTCAAATTGCCATAGAAGTTTAGAATTCCTCATTCTACATATATACATACATACATACACATTTTTATTGAGATTGCAATGAATTTGGAGATAATCTGGAAGGCCTTGTCATACTGATAATACTGGGTTTTCCAATTCATAAATACATTACATTCACAAGTCTGAATTTCTCGAAGCACTATTTTGTTGTTTTCAGTACAGCGACCAGACATGGTTTTAACTAAATATACTTCTAAATATTCTTCTTGCTGCTATTACATATAGGATTATCGCATTTTATTTTGCAATTGTTTGATGTAAATACAAAATTGGTTTTTAAATGTATGGGGATTATTTTTTCAAATATATGGGTCATTCATTCATTCATAGAGACAGGATCTCCTAAGTAGCCTGGCAGCCTTATGTAAACCAGTTAGCCTTGCGCTCACAGAGTTCTGCCTGCCTCTGCCTCCTGAATGCTGGCATTAAATATATGCAGTACCATAACCAGTAAGTTTTTGATCTCTAATATAATTTGGCAGAGTCAGCAAACATATTCTGTAATATGTCAATCCTTTGATATTTTCAAGACTTCTTTTCTGCCAACAGTTGGTCTGTTTTGGAAAGTACTCAGTATCCTACAGTTGCAGGAGACAGTACCCTACAAATGTCCCTTTAGTAAAGGTTTTCACTATTGTTCTTCAACTCTCAGACTTTAATAATCATCCCTGCTCTGCTTTTTTCTATCAGTTACAAAGAAATGAGTGATGGTATCCTCAAAGTGGAACTTTTGTTTGTTTGTTTGTTTGTTTGTTTGCTTGTTTACTAGCCCAGCTCAGTGTGCCACCTAAATTGCTGGAATGACTCCTGAGCTAAATTGTCTTGTAATTTTGGCCAGAAGTTACTCTGAGGACTATAGCATGTACATTGAATAAATGACAACTCAGAATTAAAACTATACCAGTTCACACACAGTGCAAGACAAACTAGAGCAATTCCATTCTTTCAGAATTCTTTATGATGCTTCATTTTTACATATATGTAAACTTGAGAAAATACCATCAGATGTCTGCATTAAATGTCATATTTTATAGTTCTTTGATTAAATTAAGATGAAGAAAAATGAGTTTTATTTACTAATTCCCAAGTATTTCCAAGAGTCTCCATTCTTTCCTATGGACCTGTGCTTTGATCTGATACGATTTAGCATGCTCCTCCAACTGGAAAAAGGTTCTTTATCTCTTTCTTTTACAAAATTCACACCTCCTTATTTATTTGTGTATGTGTGGTATACAACACACGTGTGTGCGTGGTGTGGTGCCTGTGTGTGGTGTATGGTACACACGTATGTGTGTGTGTGTGTGTGTGTGTGTGTGCCAAACGTGTGCTCAAACATGTGCATGCAAACTACTGCACATGTGTGGAATTCAGAGTCAGTTTCTAGCACACAGGTTCTGGGAAAACCAACTTACATAGTCAGACTTAGCAACATGAGACTTGCGCTGCATCATCTCCACAGCTTTTTTTGCAATGAATTCAGGGCCACAAGCAGTATGACACTGTGGCACCAGTGAGCTACACTTCTCCAATCCCCAAGCAGTTTTTTGTTGTTGTTTTATTTTTTTCCTTTTAATTTGTTTTGCTTTTGAGACAGGGTCTCTCAGTCTGTCCTACACCTCATGAGATCTGCCTACCTCTGCCTCCAGAGCACTAGGATTAAGGTGTGAGCCACCATGCATGGCTCCGTTTACCATTTCTTCTTTTCTTTGTTTTGTTTTGCTTTTTTTTGTTTGTTTGTTTGTTTTTTGAGACAAGTTTTTTCTGTAGCTTTGGAGCTTGTCCTGGAACTCACTCTATAGACCATGCTGGCCTCGAACTCACAGAGATCCACCTGCCTCTGCCTCCCAAGTGCTGGGATTAAAGGTGTGCGCACCACCGCCCGGCAATTTACCATTTCTTACATTCAGTCTTGTCAGGGGCTTCCACTTTTATTCCCCATTTTCAGGCCCCACTTTGAGGCAGCACCCATTCCACAGGAGGGGAGTGTGGATTGAGGAAAGAAATAGAGGACAGAGTGCTGGGCATGGTGGTTTCCAGTAAATACAAGTCAAAAGAAAAAAGCCAAAAAGCTCCAAGTTTATTACTCTCAGTAATGAACTTATATATCCCAAACAAAAGGGGCGGGGACAAAAGACTCCCATGAAACAAAGAGCAGGGAACCTTAATTACCTTCTTACAGTTCAAAACACCTGGTAACCACGCCCTAAGTCAAAACATCCTGTTGACTGGCCTTTGAAGAGTGAGGCATCCAGTAGCCACACCTTTGGTCAGCCTTGTTGTTGAGCGGCAAGAACAGATCTGAACTCTCTGACCTTTAGTCAAGACTGTGGGCCCTCATACCATTCCTAGAGCAGACTCTCACCATTTTCCTTCTAAAACTATCTTCATTTTCTTTTAATTTCTAAGTAAAGTTTTCTTTTTACATTGTATTCATTCATTTATTTATCTTTCTTCTATTTTGTATGTATATGTGTATGTGGGGGAGGGGCTTATGTGATGTAGTGGATATATGGAGGACAGAGGACATCTTGTGGAAGTTGGTCCTCTGTTTCCACCATGTGGGTCATGGGATTTAACTTGGGTTATCAGGTGTGATGACAAACACCTTTACAACAAAGAGAGCCATCTCTCCAGCAGCCTCTCCTCATTGGTACTGATTTCTAAATTGACTTGCCTTTTATTAATGAGTCCTAGGAGTTACTGACACACTTTGGATACTATACTCTTAACAGATATGTTACATAAAAATACTTTCTAAAATCTTTAGGTGATCATTTTAATTTCTTTCATTAAACATGTAAATATGGTGTGCTTGCTGTGGACTCATGTAGGGTGGAGGTAGGGTGCATAGGGAAGCCTAAAGTTAATGGTAGATCCCTTTCCACTTTATTTACTGGGTAAGGTCCCTTATTGAGCCCATAGCTCACTACTTTAGACTAATCTAACTGGCCGGCTTGCCCCAGGGATCCTGTCTCTGCCTTATTAGTATGGGATTACAGGCACCACATCTGCCCAGTTTTGTGTAAGGGCTCCAGAGACCCGAGCCCTGGTTCTCATGCTTGTATGACAAGGGCTTGAGCCACTGAGGCATCTCCTTGCATCCCTCTTTAATTTCCTATATATTTTGAAACACACAGCATTTAATTTGACAATACAATTTATCTATTTCTCCTGCCCCCCCACTCGTGTGCAAGTGTGTCTGTGTGTGTGTTTGCTTATTGTCTATCTAGGAAATGAATGACTAATCCAAGATCATTAATTATTTACACCTATGTTCTCTCTTAAGACTTTCATTATTTTAACTCTCAGATTTTCTCATATTTAGTTCTCTTATTAGCTTAGGCTGTTTTATATGATATTACGTGAGCTTAATTCTCTTGTACACGTTAATCCGTTTATCCCAGACCATTTATTGAAAAGACAAGTCTTTCTCCATTGAGTTGCTCCAGCACTCTTGGAGAAAACTCAATGGCCATAGACATATGTTTGTTTCTGAACCCAGCTTTCTCCCATTGATCCATTTAGCTAGGGACTTCTGTAATTTAATTCTGTATTAGATTCCTTGTCATGTGCGGCTACTGAGGCCTCTGATCAATTTGATAAATAGTTAATGAATACAGGAATTTCCTTTAGTGTAAGAACTAACAAATTTCCCAGTACTCGCCGGGTTTTTGCTGTACATACTGAGGTGTGTGTCAATACAAGTGGCAGTTTAAAACTTAGGCTGATTCCTGCTTATACAGATCCTCCAGGTCAGACAGAGATGAGATCTTAGGGTGTCCTGGGACCTCTCCAGAGCATGCGCACAGGATCTTTTCTGTTGACCTCTATATGTCAGCGATCTGTACTTACTATATTATAGGCAGCAAACAAATATTTTTGATATGAGCAAATAACCCCATAATTTGAACTAATCATTTTAATTTTAAATTCTGTTGCAGCAATAACAATTAGGCTACTTTTTCCCAAACCACAAAGTAGTAAAAGACCCTTAAATAGTTTTTAAAAATACATAAATAGGGGCCAGAGAGATGGCTCAGCAGTTTAGCGCATTTGACGGTCCTTCCAGGGGACCAGGGCTCAATTTCCAGCACTCACATGGCAACTCATAACTGTCTCTAACTCCAGTTCCAGGAGATCCAATACCTTCACACAGGCATGATGCAGGCAAAACACCAAAGCACATAAATTTAAAATAAATAATTTTTAAAAAATACATAAATAAAGAAGGGGCAAATTTAAACTATAAGCCCTGTAATATAATGCTCAAGTGACAACAATCTTTAAGACGTCACCAATCATAATTCAATATTAAATGTAGTCTGAACCAAGTATATTGTTGTGCCTAAGTGATAGCATATCTGTATTTTAACTAGATAGAATAAACATTAAACTTTATCTATGCCTATTCAAATTTTTCCTTTATCCATGCTATTCATGTTACTGAAGCACCTATGGTGACACTGATTTTATGAGAAAGGTAGGAAGGAAGAGAGAATGTCGTGACTATATCACAACAATTTAATCCATGCAGCAAATTTCAAGTATAGGATACAATTACAGACACACAGCAGAATTGCCAATATTAAGATCAGCAAACCAGATGGGCAGTGGTGGTACACGCCTTTAGTCCCAGCACTAGGGAGGCAGAAGCAGGTGGATCTCTGTGAGCTCGAAGCCAGCCTAGTCTACAGAGCAAGTTCCAGGACAGGCTCTAAAGCTACAGAGAAACCCTGTCTCGAAAAACCAGGGAAAAAAAATCAGCAAACCAAACTACATTATGCCACATATTACCTCATTTAATTTAATTCTCCTATTAAGAATTGTTGCTTCATTATACTAGATGAGAGAATGTAATAGATAGGGATGTAAGTGACTAGGCCAAATTTACAGAACTAACAAGTGACCAGTGCTCTTTGCATTATATGTGGTTCTATTGGAGTTCTTTAAAGAGCTCTCTTAGAAGATTTTTAAAAACTAATAATCTACTCAAGGTACAATACAGAGATTTAAATATGCCGCTTTGAGCCTCCCTCCAAACTCTGCACCCAAAGAGACGGGTACATTTTCATTTAAAGAGAACTTATTGGTCTGAAGTTCATTTTAGAGACTGGCAATGTGCTTGCAAGTGTTGCAGATGATCCAAGGCACAAAGAGGAACTTTGGAAACTTACTTTCTCGGCATCCTTTATCTTTCTCTTCCTACTCCCACCCCCCATCATTCCAACCACTACCACCTTCGCCCACCCCACACTTAGCTCAGTGCTTCACAGGTCCCCTCTAGAGACTCATCTTAGAGCTGTGTACAAAAACAATGCAAAAAATAACCATCCCTTCAATCCAACATAACAAAAACTATGAGATGGGCAGGGACCTGTCAACGTTTTCATCCTCTATCTTGTTCTCCAATCACTATCCTCACCACAGAGGAAGTCGAAAAGTGAACTAATGGCAAAAGCTGTCCTTTGCAAGATAGAGACAACTTCCTTTGTGGTGGCCATTTTCAACAGTGGCTACCTCTCCTGTCATCTTTGAATCTAGAAAAGGTGCCGAGTGAAGACCGATGCAAATAAAAAACCTCTTGACGACCTTCAGGGGTCTGTCAGTTATCTCTTTGCTTTTCTTCCCTAATTACAGCTTTGGTTGTCCCTGCTCAGTTAAACCACTACAGCCTTACCTGTGTTTCCAAGGATAGACCAGGTTCTCAGCCTCCTCGCTTACTCTACCCAGTACAGACGGACTCCCCTTTTTACAAAGGGCATAAAAGGGGGAGAACGCTGAAAGCACTCTCCTTTGGTAGTTCTCAATCGTCTGTGCTTCCACAAATTCAATACAAAAAGTTCCTGCCCCATCCATCACTTCTCAGGCAAAGAAAGTCCCCGATATGGGATCTTCCTTGCTGACATCTGCGCCTTCTTGCCTTCACGTACCTCGGGTCATCCCATCCCCCAGTGTCCCCAGTTCTCACATCCTCCTGTCTGCCCCCTCATGACCCTTCCCAGTCAGTCCTACATCTCTTTCTTCCTCAGGAGCTTTCTCGTACCAGACTCCACACCTCAGACAGCCTCCGCCTTCAGACTGTCTCCTCAGATGCCTACCCCATCGGAGTTTCAGTTCCTCCGACAAATTCTGAGCCAGACACACTGACCCCTCAGAGGCAGACCTCTGATCTCCCCGGACGACTGCAGCTTCAGATCCGTAATCCTCTTAGACGCCTCCTCCGTCAGACCCACGATCCCCTCATATTCCCTCAGACCTGCGATCCTCTTGGACACCTTCTCTCTCAGACCCGATGCCCTCTCGGACCAGAAGCCCACAGGTGCCTCCTCTCTTGGATGCACGACTCCTCCCCAGCCTCCTCCATCCGACCACATCCCCTCCGCCTCCGTGCGCACTGCGCCTCTACCTGCAGCCGTCGGGCCGCACTGATCCGTGTCTGCTGAACGAAGGGGTTGGGCACTGGCGGCGGGAAAAAGGACGCTTGGCGGGGCACCATGGGTGGCCGCAGCCCCGCGTCCCCGACGCCTGAGCCCGGCACCGTGGCCGCCACCGCGGCCGCCTCGGCGCACCGGTTCATCGTGGCTAGGGACCCAAAGCGCGCGGAAGAACGCTGCTGCCCGGCCTCGGCCACAGACCCACTAGAGTTCCAGCCCGAAGCGCCGCTCCCGGCTTCTGCGCACGCGCCAGAGTCACCTAGCCACTGACTGCCCTGCCCCCCGGCTGTGGACACGCCCCCAGCTCTGGCCCCGCCCTCAAAGGTACCTGCTTTCAGAACCGAGCACCTGCTTTCCTAGCAGGCAAGCAAGGAAAGCAGTCCTAACAGCAGAGAGACTCTTCAGGCTCTGCTGTGCCGTCAGGATTTTCTGTTTCTCTAGTCCTGTGCCTAAACCAAACCGCTCATCGCTGTGATACTTGACTGTTCATAATTGAGGCAACAAGTAAACACCCCTGGGCCAATCTAGTAAGTAAACTAATAGATCCAGGTGGGCTTCACTTATCCATTTCCAGTGTGTGTTTCGTTTTTGGTTTTTTTTTTTCTGTGTGTGTGTGTGTGTGTGTGTGTGTGTGTGTGTGTGTAAACCTGTTTGATTTGGGGGTATTTGTAGGTTACGATGAGAGAGTGTTGAGACAGGAATTGGCATCAGGAGGGTAGACTCTGTTCCACTCAAAGCATGAATTAGCGGTGTGGAGATGGCTGTCTTTCATGGAAACTGAACCATTATTTAGAAAAGGCAAAAACAACTGGCTCCCACTGTGGATGAGGAACCTGACCCAGAGACGGGAAATGGCTGAGGCAGTTTCACATTGAGGAAATATGAGGCCTGTTTGAAGCTGTGTAGGCTGAAGGCAGGGGAAGGAGGCTACCGGGGTTGCCGAGGACCTTAGGCCAATTGCTAGTGGGTAGAATCCTGACTGACCAGGGTTGAAGAATGGAGGTACTGAATCATTTACTCCTACTGACTAACTCTGCTTCCAGAAGGCATGGTGTGTGTGTGTTGGGGGGTATCTTGGCCTAGTCAGTAAACTTCTCTAAGCCAGTTGCCTCCTCCAAGAGTGAGTGGTTAATTCCTACCTCATAGGGCTGTTGGAAGAATTAAATAATGCCTTGTAGCATTCCTAGTGAAGCACTCAAGAAGTGGTGTGGTGGGGGAGCAGCTGAATTCTCTCTGAATATGTAACAGAGAATCTTACTAACAATGTGCTTCTGCTAGTCTGTCAGCTTCTCAGCCTAGAGACTCCTCAAACAGGGCTGCAAATCCTTAGCCAGCCACTTGTAAGAAGGACCTCAAGAATCGGAACTTGTGGGCTGGCCACGGGAGAAGTGATTTCCGACCCACTGAGATCTCTTCCAGGAACCGGGTCCACTCCTCATTCCATTTCCTAGTCCCAAAACAATAGACAACATCTGTTTCTAACAGCTGTCTGACCTCAGACAAACCACTGTCCTCTGGGTCCAGCTGCCCCTTCTCAGGGGTCTGGAAAGGTGATCGTAGGGGCTTTTAGAAGAAGAGGTTTGTGTGGCTGCTGTTCCTTGCTAACGGCACTATCACTAGGATGCCCATCAGTTTAAGAGCGTGAGAAAGTGAGAGAGAGTGAGGGGAGTGGACCTCCAACCGACCCCATAACTACAGCACCAGAACTGCTCTTCATGTGGTTCTTGGTTTGGCAGCTCTGACCTTCCCAGCACACATCATCTGTGCCTTGCGTTGAGCAAAGATTTGCCTTTTAAGTTCCTCCTTCTGGCTGTGAGCTGCTAAAACAGAGGCAAACACTGTCACTCAACTGGTGTCTTTATTTATCCTTCTTGGCCGTTTCCCATGGGGAACTGTTAAAGGGAGAAGCGAGAAGGCTGAGCAGGAAGCCACTGGTTTGGTTTTCCTCCATCCAGTGGAGGAAGAGATTGAGGATGCTCTAGAGCACACAAGGAAGCCATTGGTATGCGGGCTGAGAGGCACCGTGCAGTGATGTCAGACGACCTGAGTCCTTGCGTCAGGAAATGCAGCACGGTGGGAAATGGAAAAGCTTGAAGGAAATGAAGGAAGCGCGCACAGAGCAAACCGTAATGTAGTGCAGACACGAGGACGGCTGGCAGTCAGAAACCAGGGGTCTCCGACTTCCACCTGGACGCACCTGCATCCCAGCTGCCCTGTGCCGGCTGTTGGGCCACCAGTGCCCTCCTAAGACAGTCTCTGTTGACTCTGACAGTGCTGTGAGCCACAGAAGTATCAGAGATGAGAAGAACCTCAAGTGTGGAGCACCAGGGCAGCCCAAAAGAGGGCTGCATTGAGAACATCCAAGCATCCCCTAGGGGGCGGGGGAGGGGGGAGAAGCACCTGGGAGGGGTACAATCAGCACCTTTCTTTGGGCACAAAAAAAAAAAGGCACGCTCTTAAATCTTCAGTCACCAGGTGAGGGGGAAGGCTGATTAACTATAGAGCTGAAGGCAGGGCAGCCAGGCCCCTTCACATCCTTCCCCAGTATTCTGGGCCTGGTGTGCAGTGTTGATTGCAGGGCCTGTGGTAAGAGGACCAGCTCAGCAGCCCAGCCAGTCCGATTTGATGCTTCCAAACTTCATACTCTTCAGACTTTGGTTCTCCAGCTTCAGGTAATATGCACCTTTGAAGAAGTAGCTGTGACCTGAGAGAGACAAGCAAGAGAGACTGGACCTATGCTGACCTGACACGGCACATGGAACGTCTCTGGGAATGGTCACCTCTGCCTGGCATAGGAAAGACGCTTTTCAGCCTGGGAAGACCTTCTGGGCTGGAGGAAGAGGAATGGCTGGGAAACTGGGTCTTGTCGCCATTGACTGCTCATCTCTGAGCCAGGGATCGAGGCGCCAACGTCTTAGAGAAACGGTTCTCGACCTGTGGGTCACAGCCCCTTTGGATTCATATATCAGCTATCCTGTATATCCGATATTTATATTATGATTCTTAACAGTAGCGAAACTACAATCATGAAGTCGCAGCAAAAGTAATTTTATGGTTGGGGGTCAGCACAACGAGGAACTGTGTTAAAGGGTCGCAGCGTGAAGAAGGTCGAGAAGCGCTGTCTAAGGCTTGTTAGGAGACTAAGTTAGGTAATACTTGCTACTGGTGACTTCCTGTGCACGAGCACCAAGCCAAGCACCCTCACACATCAGGGGATGGGAAGTAGGAGGCCCCCCAGACCTATCAGGTTTATTAGGTTCATACAAATGTTTGCTTCATTTTGTCTTTAATTCTGAATGACTTGCCAGGATATAAATACATCTGGCAATGTTACATGCATGTGCAGATGCCTGGCCTCTCTCTGAATCTCTAAAATACCTAAAGATCACAAGACTCTACGCTTGCAGGTCTACAATCATCACAGTCTGAGAAGCAACCCTTCCCGGCCAACACACACACACACACTCACACACTCAGGCCCCTACACCCATACACACTCAGGCACACACACAAACTCAGCCCCCCACTCAGATACACTTAGCCACCACAAAGACACACACATACACACACACACACACAAATTCTCTCTCACACACACACATACACAGTCCCCCACACTCATACATGCACACACTCAGGCCCACACAAACATATGCATGTCCATACTCACACATACACTCATGCACACTTACATGTGCACAAACACATTCACACACACACACACACACATATGCATAATTTATTTTCTATCGTTTCCCCTCCTGGCCTCTAGAGGCTTTAGAACCTGTGAATTCCTTCAAACATACATGATCCTGTATACCCCACTTACAACTCTAGCTCACAGTATGGACCTGAGAGATATTTGGTTGAAGGTAACCCTTAATGGAGCACCTGATTATACACTGCTTTCCTTCTGAGCTTGTGAGACCTCAGCATGGGAGCTTATGTGAGCTTTGCAGATGGTAAAACCACAAACACACACGCACACACACGCACACACACACACACACACACTTGCACGCACGAACACACGCACACACATGTGCGTGCACACACACATGCACCACATCAAAATATAAATTAAAACTTTTGTGAATCTGAACTAAGACCTCCTCTAAAAAGCCAAAGTGACTTCATTTCCAGCACCCCAGGGAGTCACAGAAACCTCCCTGAGAATATGGCTTTCAAACCCCAAATGCTATCCTTGCTGACACTGCAAAGAAGCAAGCAGCTGAGTGGGAGATCGCTGCCACAGGAGAGGCGGAGCATGACAAAGTTTGCCTTGTCTCGAGTAGAGCCATGCTTCTGACGGGAGATGGTCACAAGGCCTCCTGAGAAACCCAATACAGCCTGGCTCAACCCCTAGAATGAATCCAGGGCACCAGGCCATGTTCCTGGTCCCTGGAGGTCTCCCAGCCCTCCTCTACTGTGGCTCCAGGTTCTGCAGCTGTGAGGGGCCTTTCTAGGTCTTACAGCCTGGAGTTTGGCTGGGGCGGCAAGGGTCAGGAGTCTGGCTGCCTTCCCAGCACTGAGCTAAAGGGATTGGTTTGTTTTCCAGAACTGCATGGCTGCCCTGAGGAGTGTGTACAAAGGAGGAGCTGCTTCCTGGCTGGGGGCAGGCAATCCTAGAATGCCAACAGAGGCCTGGGTAGCTCACCACCGCCCTGCAGGTCCACGACCGCATCCAGGTTATCGGGGATGGCGTTCCAGGAATCTGCGATGAGCTTAGGGAAACCAGGATCCATTTTCTTCTTCACTTCATTGTATCTAGGGAAAGAGACAGGGAGAAGCAAATGGCCTCTCTGAAGACCACTGCCCACTCTCACCCCCCAGTCCTGGAGAGAAGGATCCAAGGGATGGCACAGAGAGGGTCTGGAAAAAAGACTTGGCCTTTCAGAGGGGAAGCAGGCAGCAGTGCGGAGGCCTAAACCTGACTCTGAATCCTACAGTACTAGCTCCTAATTGCATGGCTTGAGACAATCCCTATGAGCAAGTGTCATTGCCACCAAGAAACACATGTTTGTGTCTCTCCCATGTCTAATATTCAGCAGGAATTTGGGAATTGAGTGTTCCCTTACCAACTTTTTTTTAAAAAAAATTCTTTTGAAATTTATTCACTTTTAATGTGTTTAGGTGTTTTGCTTGCACATATGTCTACACACCATGTGCGTGAGTGCCCTCAAAAGCCAGAAGAGGGAGTCAGATCCCTGGAACTAGAATTATAGATAGATGGTTATGAGCCGTGCGTGTACCGGGAATTGAACCCCGGACTTCTGGAAGAGCACACAGTGCTGTTGACTGCTGAGCCATCTCTCCAGCCCCTCCCTTACAACCTTTGATTCCCGGCTGCAGTCCAAGGACCAATGGAGCGGACCCATAATTCTTTGACTGTGTGGTTTGAACAAATTGCTGCTTTTTCATCTTTCGAGCAGAGATGACCAGCCATGTCTGGGAGTGAACCGAGGCTCAGAGAGGGAGGTTACAATGCAACGTGTGGGTGTGAGCTCAGGACCATGAGTCACTCACTCACTAGCAGGCTGCATGCCACCCCAGTCCCTTCCGGGGCTTGTCTTTAATCCAGGTAAATACCTTGAGCATTATGAAGTCTTTCTCCTTGGCTGTTGCTTTAAGTTTCTTGGAGAAACCTTTGAATGGCTGTTCTTTTTATTCCTTTGCTTTCCCTCCCTCTGCCCCTCAACCTACTCATTTCATTACACAGATTCAACACTACGTAAGCTAATGTGCGCCGACTGTGGGCCTGCGATATCTCAGTATCAAGATCAAGTCTCACCTTCGTGCCGAAAGTTTCTAAGCAGATCACTCTGGATCCCATCCTGGTGATGGACAAGCTTTCTTTGCTCTGCACAGCATCCTGGGTGGCTCTCCTTTTTCCCTGGTGGCAGCCGTACCACCCCCACCAGGGATTCCAACCATAGACTACCCTAAGGCTATTTTTATAGGGGTTTCGCTTTCAACTCATCACTCCAAGACCTGCCAGTAACACCTTCAAAACCACAGCTTCATCTGAAGACAATTTCTGAAGAAGACTGTTTCTTCATGGCCCAGGTTACCAAAACCAAAAGGACTTTCCTTAGCACAAGCAGAGGGCAGGAATCAACCCTCTTGATTGTGAAGATCAATCAACCCTCTTGTATAAGTGAAGCCCAGAGACACCAAACAACTTGCTTCCTGAAAGTCCTTTTTATCCAGGAGAGGTGTCACCTCCTCCCTGTCCCTCTAGCCTCATTATCTGGGCAGCTGATCTACAGATGTAGAAGGTGCAATGCGGAGTGTCAGAAGCGACATTTGAGTCCCAGGTTTTCCATGTGTCCTTGACCCACTTGAGCCTCGGTATCCTTGGTCCAGAAAGAGGAGTTGATAACAATGTATCCATTAAATGAAAAATCCAGGTGACATGCATAGCCTCCACCCAGAGCAAGGCACAGGTCGGACGGAGTCCCCAATGTGAGATGCAAATGAATTTAAGTTATGTGCACAGCACATAAAGGACACTGAACATGTATTTGTGGTATTGGTGAGAACTCCAAAAGGCAGCGGCTGAGGGCTTCCTGTCATGCTGGTGGGGACAGACAGCGGCTCACCCTGGTCACTCCAAACTCTCTCTCTTTCCTGCATTCATGGCCCAAGAAAGTGTCTCAAGCTATTGTGCCGCTTTTTCTGGGAGGGACCTGTCCCCCTTAAATGCACAGTCTAGAAGCTAGGACCAGCTCTATCCACTCTAGCCTTTACCCAAGGCTCATGGAACTTCCTCAGCAGAGAACAGTGTTTGTTCTGGCATCTAGAGTTGGAGGAAGGCCTTGTCAAGGAAAAGGATTAGAAGAAATCAGCAAGGCATTTCAGGGCCTGTGAGTCTATGTATGCATGCACACTCCTGCTCATATGAGACATGCCTGTTCTTGCATGTGTACACACAGAGGATGTGTAGAAGGAAGATGGTGAGAATGCTCCCCGCGTACCACAGGGGAATCACATAGGCTTTAGGATTCTGAGATTCCCGAATCATGTGTCTGTGACTTCTCTCGCTCACCACAGGCAGAGTTAAAGATTTACAGTGCCCATGAATTCAAGAGCCTGAGATGCCATTTGCAGTACGTGGTTGTGCTGGGGAGGGTTCCGGAGCCCATGGGCGAAAGGCCTGCTCAGTGGTTTCCTGACAGACTGTTTTTCTTCTCGAGGCTTGAGATACCAATCAGTTTAGGTTGTTAAGTATCTCAGCGGTGCCTTCAGAATTCCACCCTGCCATGGGCAGCCGGGGGACATAAGCAGCTGCTGAATCAGGGCAGTTTCGGGTGAGGTGAGGGGCAGAGAAGGGGGAGGAGACTGAGGCCTCTGAGGGAAGCAGGAATGTTTGTTCAGGGACAGCAGACAAGGTCCGAGAGTTCCATCAGTGGTTCCTGGGTATGGCCTGGCTGCCATCACAGCCACAGAAAGCTGGGAGGGAAAGGGAAAGGAGGTGTCTGCAAAGCTTTTGTTTGCCTACCCTTTTCCTCATTGATCAAATGACCCAGAGGGCACAGTGAAGGGGGTACAGAAGAAAAAGAGGAGAAGCAAATTTAAGCATAGCTCCAGGCCAGAAAACTTGCACTTAAGTGAGTTGACTGAGTCCTGTAACTTCTTTAAGCTAAGCTTCCTAAAGGGTAAATTGTGAAGGATGAAAAGCATAATCCTGTGTTTGAACTATGTTCGTGGATGCTGTTCTCTGGCCCATCATTCAGACCTTTGCTTCTCAGTGCTAGAGCCTTCTCGCCAGAGGACTCTGAGCTAAACCAACTGCTTCTAAACTACTCCTGTGCCAGACCTATAGGCACAAGGGAGGGTACCTGCTGCAGACATGGGGGAGAGTGCCTGCTGTAGACATGGAGGAGGTGCCTGCTGCATACATGGGGGAGGGTACCTGCTGCAGACATGGGGGAGGGTGCCTGCTGCAGACATGGGGTAGGGTACCTGCTGCAGACATGGGGGAGGGTGCCTGCTGCATACATGGGGGAGAGTGCCTGGTGTAGACATGGGGGAGGGTATCTGCTGCAGACATGGAGGAGGGTGCCTGTGACACCCCAGGTCCTAGTTTGGATCTTGTCTTCCTCATTTCCCTCTGCTGCCTTGACTATACCTTCCCTCCCTGTGTCTCCACTGTATCAGGAAGAGTACAGAGATTGAGAGCACTGACTATTCTTCAGGTTGCTCTGAGTTCAATTCCCAGCAACCACATGATGGCTCATACCCATCTGAAATGAGATCTGGTGCCCTCTTCTGGCAGGCATGCATGCAGGCAGAACACTGTATACATAACAAATTAAAAAAAAAAAATAAAAAAAAGAGTAGGGCATTCTCCAGGGCCAGGAGGCTCAAAGCACAGTTGTCACTCCATGGCCATGGAACCTGAAGTTAGTTATTTAACCGTTTGAAACCGTGTTTTCTTCTTGTTAAAAGTGGGAAGAACAGTGATTTCGACTTCCTTGGGCTTTACAATAGCATCTGGCTTACAATAGCAATCAGCTATTACCTGCATGTATATCACCAACTCCATTGTGAGTTGCCGTAACATGAAGGTCTAGACAAGGTGTCTGCAGGCCCAATCAGAGGCGGCTGAGAAGGGAAAGGGGGATTCTGGCCAGAACAGCCCTAACAGTGTCATAAGGAGGGTGCATTCTGTGGTGTCTTCTCTTGGAGGGCCGGCTACCAGGCAGGCTAAGACCAGGGAGCGGATGTTTACCCACGCTGTTTATATCAAGCCACAGAGAGTCTTGCCCCATGAAACCAGCCATGCCACCATCCTACCTGGGGCCCCCTTACCTCCAGAACTTGTCTCCAGCGAAGATGTATGTCTTCTTGTTCTTACTCCAGTTAAAGGCAGCATCTACTCGCTGGACATCAGCGGGCAGGCCCAGGCTGGTCAGTGGCTTGGGATACCCTCGCTCCAGAGTGCTGGCAGAATAGACCCAGTACTCATTCCCTGAGGGAAGGGGCAGAAGGTGGGTCAGTGGCTGTGGAGAAATGCCTCAGGCCCATCTTGGCCTCCGCCATCATCTCTCTGGCAGAAGAGCCTACTGGATTTTTCTCCACAGGGAACGGCCTTCTGCTCATGTCTTAGCTCTGTAGAAGCAGGCCTCACCACACGGTTATGTTTTGTTTTACTTCACTTTTGAGACAAGAGGTCATATAACCCAGGCTGGCTTTGAACTCCTGATCCTCCTGAGTACTGGGATTACAAGGAGGCAGGCTGTCCCACATCTGATGGATACAGTGCTGAGAACTGAACTTCTAGGCTACATAAGCACTCTACCCACTGAACTACATCTCTAGCTCATGCACACAGTTTATGCCGGTTACAGCCGGTTACAAAAGGTGACAGTGAAAGGAGACTAGTAGCCCACGGAAGTGTCATGTCTGCCACACAAATCCCCTCTTTCTGACATGTATAAAGTGTCCTGGGAGTCAAAGCTAGCCTGGCCAGGACCTGTGATCACCAAAGACGGAGGAGGAAGCTGTCCATATACAGGACAGTCAGTGCCCAAACTTAGCTGCACCATCAAGGTCAGCCTGGGCTACACAGCAAACACACAGGCCAGCCTGAGTGATGCCATAAAACCTTGTCTCTAAACAAAGGCAAAGGTAACAAGCCTCGTAAAGAACGGTGCTGGTTTGGCATCTAAACACCATGTATAGAATAGTTTGTTTATATCCTGTTTTTAGAAGCCACCCTACTGGAACTACTATTCAAACCAATGCATGTTACAAAGCATTATATGTTAAAAATGAGAGGCTGGGGGCTGCAGAGATGGTTTGGTGATTAAGAGTGCTTCTTGCTCCTCCTGAAGACCAGAGTTAGATTCCCAGTAGCCAGGTGGGGCAGCTTACAACCTCTGCCTCCCGGTTCCTGCAATGACTTCCCTGGATGATGGGAGGTAAGAGGAAAGATGCCCTTTCTTTCCAAAGTTGCTTTTGGTCATGTTTTATGGTAGCTAAAGAAATCCTAAGACACGCCTGTACCTCCACCCCAGGGGGACCAATGCCTCTGACCTCTGGGAGTACCCTCACTCATGTCCTCCCCCGCCCTCATACACAGACGTGCACACACAATATACATAATATTTTAAACAGTTTGGGGTTGGGCTGAGGCTTGGTTAGTAGAGAGCTGTGCACAAGACTCTGAGCTCCATTCACGGCATCCAACTAAATCTGATGTGATGGCAAATGCTTAATCTTAACACTTGAGAGGAGGCGGGGGGATCATAGTTAAAGACCAACGTCAGCTATGCAGCAAGTTCGAAGCCAGCCTGGATTGTATGAGACCCTGTATGTGTGTGTGCGTGTGTATGCATGTCTTTGTCTGTCTGCCTGTCTCTCTCTCACTTTCTCTGTCTCTCTGTCTCTCTTTCTCTTTCTCTCTCATTTTCTCTGTCTGTCTGTTTGTCTGTCTGTCTCTCATTTTCTCTCTGTTACACACACACAGACACACACACACACACACACACGCACGCACGCACACGCACATGAACACACACACCACACTAAAGGTCTAACTGATGCAGTTACCAGCCAAGGCTCTAGCAAGGGACTGATGTTAGGGAAACATCACTGAAAGAAGACTGTTTCCTTTAGGAAAGGAACTAGGAGATTGGCAAAGAACCCAGAGGGAAGGAAATGCCCCTCCAGCGAGGCTAGTTGATGCTGGGTGTCTAGACCACACTCCCAGAAAAATCCTATGTGCGTTGGCTAGCTTCCCCCTTTTGTCAACTGGACACAAGCTAGAGTTGTCTGAGAAGGAGGACTCTCAGTAGAGAAAAGTGCCTTCATAAAATCTGCCTGCTGGCAAGTCCTTGAAACGTTTTTTCTTAATTAGTGATGGATGTAGGAGGCCCCAGCCCTCTGTGGGTGGTGCCACTTCAGAGTGGGTGGTTCTGGAGTCTCTAAGAAAGCAGGCTCAGGCGGAGCAAACACAGTGGGGAGCAAGCCAGTGTTTGTCCATGGCTTCTGGTTCAGTTCCTGCCTTGAGTTCCAGCCCTGACTTGCCTTCACGCTACGCTACATCTGTAAGCTGAAATAAACCCTTTCCTACCCAAGTTACTTTTAAACATGGTGTTCTATCACCGCAATAGAAGCCAACTAAGACCCTGTGCTTTGGGAAATCACATTGGGGCGGATCTTTAGAGAAGATGGGGCGCCTGAAGGTGCCTAGGAACTGTGGTTTGGTGGAGGGGTAGATCCAGTTAAACGGGGCCAGCAAGACCCTCCCACACACCTGCAAAGAACACAGCTTTCTCTTCCTGTGGGGCCTCGTACACAGCATCGATCTTTTCTGGGAGCTCAGGCCAGAAGGTGGCCACCAGCAAGGGCCCCGAGGGCTTGTCACGTGGTGTCACTGTCCGCCAAATAAACCTGGGGAGGGGAACAGGACACAAGAAGTCACACCTGCCATCACTCTAAAGCTCTAACCGCCAAGTCCAATCAGAAATGAGGTAGGGCAGTGGAAGGTGGCAAGATCTAGAGAAGGGTAGAGGGGGACACTGGGGAATAGGAGGAGATTGCTCTGCAAGATGCCACCCTCCCTCTTGCCCCCCCCCGGAAGCCTCCCCAGACTGTCTCTGCTTACTGTGTTTCCTTACTTGGGGCCTCTCTGAAACACCAGCGCTGAGTGCCTGGAGCAGGTACTGTTTATTTATCTGTCCTATCTGGTTAGAAGCCAACTGAGTGAGGCAGGGGCTGAAGGCGCTTCAAAGCATTTTCTGAACTTAAATGGAATGAGGCTGGATGTCTTGGCAAACTACAAGCTACGTTGACTAAGGGCATACGAAGAGCCAAGCACTTGTACGAATGAGCCTTGTAAAATGTTAGCCTCAGAACCGCCTAACGTGTGTGTGCTTGATGATCTATCTGCTCGGTATCCAGCATCTCTCTCTACCATCCTTCCTCTCAGCGCCACACTTCTACCCATCCTTCAGCGCCCCGAGTCCCTGCTGCCCATGACCTCGTCCTCATCCTAGGGATGAGTCCCAGGTGTCTCCAAACTTTTGACACTGTAACATGACTTAGCACTGCATGAGCAAAACAAGAGCTGTCCTTAGCTGCAAAGTGACCTTAGTGGCAGGTTGGTCACGGGTAAGCCACTGGCTCTCAAACTGTGATCCGCAGACCAGTGGGCCGAGCAGCACCTGGGCATGTGTCAAAAATGCACATTTCTGGGCCTGGCCTGAGATCTGAGGAGCAGACTTCCCTGGCTTATGATTGAGACTCTGTTTGAACAAGCCTTCCAGATGATTCTGTTTGCCAAAGTTGGTTAGCTTAACATTCCTTGCCCTGTGTCTTATATCAGCATGACAAGATTGAGCAGATAGACCAGCACCTCACCTCCAGACATCTCTCTCTCCCTCACACCTCACCCCATACTTTGGCTGGACCTGTGGGAAGCCTGTGGTACTAACCGCCCCTGGCAGTCATCTTGGGACCCATCCTTGGCATAGAGGTCGTGTAAAGGTGTCAATGGACAAAGACAAGTTGCTGTCCCTCCTCTGCCCTTTAAAACAAACAGCCTTGGGCTGGAGAGATGGCTCAGTGGTTAAGAGCATTGCCTGCTCTTCCAAAGGTCCTGAGTTCAATTCCCGGCAACCACATGGTGGCTCACAACCATCTGTAATGAGGTCTGGTGCCCTCTTCTGACATACACCAGCAGACATACACACAGACAGATTATTGTATACATAATAAATAAATAAATAAATAGATAGATAGATAAATAGACAAATAAATAGATAAATAAATAAATATTTTTTAAAAAAACAAAACAAAATAAAAAAAAAAGCAGCCTTATCCCTGGACGCTATATCATGAAAGAGCAATTTTTCTTCCACTTTTTAATTTGGGGCAGGAGAAGGTGGCATTTCTGTTACTTGAGGGAACATATATAAGGCAGGGCTATGGCCCTAATTTGCCAAACAACACTCAGATTATGATATTATCTGGACTGAAGTCCACGTCCAACTCCAAAATCCATATTCAAGGATCCTGTAGTACTGTGCTACCCTCCCAGAGCCTGGCACCAATATTTGTGTATGTTTTCTGTTTAATTATTTACAGCGAATTAGCTCAGTGAAGCACTGAACACCCAGTTAGGTCCTTTGGTAGAGAGTGTGATGCTGTGTCAGAACCTGCTCTGGCCTGGGCATGGGCTCAGAGCCGTGTCTGCAATTCTCGCTTCTGACAGCTGTCTATACTACACATGTTTCTATAGAAACATGGTCACAGTTTCTACAGTGGCAAGTGCTCTGAGCTGGGGACATTGCTGGAGACTAGAGTCTCCATGTACCTTTTCTCCCTCCCTACAAGGTGTAGCAGCACACCAGGGGAATCTGTAATCACTAATACTGGCTTGGGCACTAAGACCTGACAAAAATCGACTTACTGTGTTTTGATTCTCACTTCTCTCTCAACCTTCTTGTTATTGCCGACTGGCCAGTGGTATACGCAGTGAAGGGCAGGGCATGTGTGCCCCATACCTGCCCCCATGTGTGAAGAGAAGCCCTTTGTGGAACAGAAGACATTTCTGGAATATCATTTAGCCTCTCCGGGCTCTCTGTCCTACAATGTTTAAGTCGGGAAGTTTTATCGGTCTCTGCTTCATAGTTCCTAAACTGCCACTACTGTCACCACCCAAAAGAATGCTGTTTCCCCTTAAAGGCCCTGTTGAGAGGACACCACCATTATGAAGCCTTCCTTGCCTGGGACATCTACACAGAAACTCTTCGTATTATTGTCAATTTGCTATGGCTTTCTTTCCCTAACCACACAGTGGCACACCATCAAAGAGCACCCGGATCACTGGGGAAATTTGGTAAAATGCAGATATGTGTGCCCTGCCCACAGAGAGTCCAGCCAAAGGGCTCAGGAAGAGGGCAGAAGCCCATGGCTTTTTAATATCCCCATCCCAGGTGGTTCTAGCGTAGGAGGCCTGTGCACTTCTCTTGAGAACAGTGATGTGACTTTAAACAGACCCCTACCCCCACCACACATCTTCCCTTCCTCCGCTACCATCAAGGCAATTGGCATACAAGCTGCTAAAATGTGGTTTGTTGAGGTGACAGCTAATGGGGCTAAACAAGCACACTCTGTGCTAGCCTTGTTCTAAGCACTAAACTCATCTGATCCTTATTTTTGCCCTATTTCATAGGGTAAAATGTTAGCCCCATCTTAGAGATGGGTAAACAGAGGTACAAAGAAAACGGTTAGCCTACTGGTAGCCATACAACTTGTAGACAGTTAGCATAGTATTCTACGTCGACAACCCAATTTCCTAACTATTATACACTATGAATGGGTGAGTGGACAACTGGATCAACGTATGGAAGGATAATGGAGGCTAGATGGACAGAAAAAGATGCTTGGTAGACAGACAGACAGACAGACAGGTGATAGAGGAATAGATGAAGGTAGCGATGGATAGACAGATAGATGAAGGACAGATATCTGGATGAGCAGACTCTTTGATGAGGTCCTAGACAGTTCCTGCTATTACCCAGAGATCTAGGGCATTAGAGTGACTCTGTGCTGTTTGTTATGATCACAGCCTTGAAGAATGAAGGAAATAATTTCTCTCCACCTATGGTCACTTGTTTTCTATACAGACAGCAATTTGGCCATTAGAGATCTCAGGGAGAAAGCCGATGGAAGATTGGCCAATCCCCTTACATTCTTCTCTCTATCCTACTTTAGAATCCTGCCTGGATGTGCCTTAATACATAACAACACACTCCATCTTTTACGGCTGGGCTGGGGTAAACTGGGATGCCCAGTTTAGCTATGTTCTTTGATTTCATTGGTAAGAGATTCTCAGATGTGATGTGCATCAAATCTTTCTAAGTCCGTGTATGGTTTGATTTGGCCTTTTAACACCCTGTCATCTGTCACAAGTATCTGCTAACTGTAGGAGAATGAGTGACGTGTGGAATGTACCTGACCCCCTACTGCTACAAAAGCCTAGACAACTGGTAGACCCAGAATTCGAGAGAACCACCTATGTGTAAGCCACCAAGATAGGTAGTGAGGCACACAGCAGAAACTGCTTACTGCAGATCATTCTGTGAGGTCCCAGGGGTCCTCAGCAAACAGCGGGAACACAAGAAAGACAAAAGCAGCCTGGCTTACCGGTCCTTGAAGAAGAAGATCTCACCACGGATTTGGGCAATGCCATCAAAGACAATGTCCTGTTTGCAGATCTCGGGAGTGACAGGTCCCAGCGTAGGGGTGGGGCCAGTACCAGTGTCAGTATCGGCATCAGGGGAGGGCCCTGGGGGATGGGGTGACACCTGAATTTAGACTCTCCCCAGCAACAAGACTTCTCATCACCAGGTTAGGCCCCAATACTGCTCACTTGACCCATAAAGTCAAAAAGGCTAGAAGGAAGAGACATCTGCCTCAGGGTCACCTGCACTTATACTGGGGAACTAAGAGAAGCCTGAATTTTGTGTGGTCTCTTACTGTAAGAACAGGAAAGTCTGGGTCCCCTCAGGGCTGTGGTGCTTTCTTAAGGACTCACTTGTTTATCCCTCCTGATGAGCAGCCACATCTGAAAAAAGTCAGTCTAGAGAGGACCGCAATGCCACCTCTTACCATCTGGATCTCCAGTTCTTTTCCAATGTCCCTAGGCTTCCCCACTCAGGTTTGACCTTCACTATTTTGCCTGATCCAGGAACTCTGAGGACTATCTTCAACAATATGATTGATTTCTTTTTTTAGACAATGTACTGACTTTTTTTAAACCTCTAGCCTCTCTGAAAGCACAAACAATAAGCGATCATTGGCTGCAGGAACCAATTGTTACGCTTCTATCACAAATTAAAAGATCAACATCTTACAAAGATTGGCAACGTTCATTGCCGTGCCAACATTCTCATTCTGTGCCAGAGAAATCCTGTTCTATAGTCAGCTGACTCTTCTAGATCCTGAACCCTACCTGGTCACTGAAACCTAGTCTTGCCTTGGATTACACACCTAGCTAATGGAGAGCCCTAGAAATGGGGAGCCCAGAGGGTCAAGAAAGACTCATTTAGAAAGGACAGGGCTGTGTGAGTGGCCCTTTGAAGCATTACTCCGAAACCCAGGGACCAGACACCATTCATGCCCCTGACCATTCTGGCTAGATGAGATCTGGAATTTTCCACTTCTGTGGCCTCCCACCCAGGCTGTGGAATGATTGTAGACACCTCCACCCGCAGAGCAGAGGCCCTCAAGCCGAGGCTTACCATAGAGCTCCTGGATCCCCTTGATGTCATCCTGGGATAAGCGGAAGTTCTTGGTGTAGGTGTAGATGGGCGCCATCAGAGCTCCGGGGTCCTGTGAGTGCTCCAGCCCCATTGCATGGCCGAACTCATGGGCTGCCACGAGGAATAGGCTGTATCCTGATGCAAGGGCAGGGACAAGGGGTAGAATTTGAGACAGAGCGATGAGACTGTCATCAAGACTTTCCTCATAAGAAGGAAACTTTGGGGGACATCTCCGGGGTAGGCCTAAAGTTCTGCAAGTGGTGTATTGATTTCTTCCTTGTCCTGAGAGCTCTGTTGCTTTTGAGTGGGTCAGCCAATATCCGCTTGCTCTTTCCCGGTGACGGCTGCTTGTAGTATGAGGGAGAGAGACTGGAGCTCTGCTTCAAGGCTCATCTGTTAAACATCATACTTCCTGGCTCTCTGTGAGAGTGGAAGTCAAAGCTGCTGCTCGGGTTCTCAAAGCGGGAGAGCCAACGGGATAGTCTGGCCTGAGGGCTTCACCACTTCTGCCTGGGAAAGGGAGTGCAAACCACTCTCCTGGTAGTGTGACTTGATGATATTGCAGTATCTCCAGTCCCATAGGGAAACTGAAAACATATCCATGTCTGTGTGCGTTGCTCAGGCTTGGCCACGGAGAGCAGGCAAGTCATATACCACACCCTGTTATCCCACGGGCCCCACTACCACACACACACACAAAATATACACCCAAATTCTGTTCCTGGTTATCTAGGACATGTGATCTTATTTACAGATGCCATTAAAATGGAAGGCAGAGCCAAGAGTGGTGTTATAGATCTATAATTTCAGTACTTGATATGCTGAAGGTAGGAGGATTGTGAACTTGAGATCAACGTGGGCCATGTAGTGAAACCCTGCCTCAAATAACGAATAAGTTAAAAACACTACCACATTGCAGTGGAGAGGCTCTTAACCCAGTGTGGCTCATGACCTCATAAGAAGAGACATGAAGAGACAGACGCAGAGATGGCCATGTAATAACAGAAGCGGATGATAAAGTGATACAGGTTCGGAGGAAACACTTTGGTTTTAAATGTCCAGTCTCCAGAATCAGCAAAGAGTCAGTTGATGTTGTTTTAAGCCACCAATACCTTATGCTTTGTACATGACAGCCCAAGGGGCCACAGGCTCTCCACAGGGATGGAGATCCCACCTTTGGCAGAAGTTGCACAGAGCGGGGATGTCAGCATCTCACCTAGCATAGTATTTGGGGCAAGAAAAACTCCTAAGAAAAGCTGATTTGTCCAGCTGCGCCATTCACCAAGGTCCATCTATCTCATTGTGGGAATAAAGGACAAAAGTGACAGGGCTGTACTGGTTTGCATTAACCGTCCATGTGACACAGCCGAGAATCATAGTTCAAGACTCCCAGTCGAGTAGTCGCCTTTATCAGGTTGTTCTCAGTGCATGTCTGTGAGGAACTGTATTATGGTTAGTTGACACAAGAGAACACAGCCTCTATGGGCAGCTCCAGTTCCTGGGCAGGTGACCTGGTCCATAAAAAAGTTAGCTAAGCATGAGCCTGTGAGCCAGATGGTGAAACCAGCAAGGGGTATTCTCCATGGTTCCTGCCTTCAGGTTCTTACATTAAGTTCTTGACTTCCCTGGATAGATTGCAACCTGGGAGTATAAGCCTGCCTGTGACCATTTCCTTCCGAAGTGTTTATTCACAACAACAAAAATCAAACGAGGACAGAGGCTCACTTAATTATGGCAGGTCCTGGATTTGCCTGAACGTTTTGGGCTGCCTGAAAACTGAAACCCTGGGCCTTTGGGCCCTGAAAGCTAGGCCCTGCTTATAGTTCTGATGACAGTAAGGTCAACTGGCTGTCTCCTGCTAGTGACAGTCCTGCATGGAAGGGTGACTGGAGCAGAAAGCAAGAATAAAAATAGCAGGGCTGATACCCACCCAGGATCAGTACCTAGTGATGGGGTCTCATTTTGGAAGCTGTGTGAGTGTCTGACTGAATTGGCTGGACCTTAGCAAGGAACCTGTCTTCACTGGGACTCAGTGGAGTCTCTACTCAGGTGGGGAGGGCTGAAGGCCCAATGGGAGTCTCTGTGGTAGTCTGAAAGAAAATGGCCCTTGAATGGCTTGTCACTAGTAGGAGGTGTGGCCTGTTGCAGGAAGTGTGCCACTGTGACCATAGGCTTTGAGGTCTCTTTTGCTCAAGCTTCCCTCAGTGTGACAGTCAGTTGACTTCCTGTTGCCTGCAAGATGTAGCACTCTCAGCTCTAGAACCATGTCTGCCTGCATGCCTCCATGTTCCCTTCCTGATCTTAATGGGCTGAACTTCTGACGGTAAGCAAGCCACCCCAACTAAATGTTTTCTTTATAAGAGTTGCCGTGGGCATGGTGTCTCTTCACAGCAATAGAAACCCTAACTGAGATACTTGTCAAGGGACAACGTCTGTGCTGAAAGTAGTCTGGTCCTCAGAACGTTCTAGCTCAGGTGTGGAGGAGTGCAGTGTCTCTGCCAGAGGCCAGGGCCTCATACCTTGGTCGGGACAGAAGCCCCACTTCCGGTCGTCATCATAGGTAGCCGTGGTGGCACACCATATCTTCCCATCATTGCGACCGGCGCTAGTGCAGCTATCATATTTGTTGCCCAGGAAGGTGAAGGGGAAGACGCATGGGGCACCTTCTGAATTTCCACCCACAGTAGACATAGCTGTGGGACAAGGGACACAGGTCAAGGGGCAGCAGAGGATGTGAGGTCACTGCTAGGAAACAATGACAAGATGTTGATATTAACACACACTCCCTGGGTACTATTCCCCCCATCAACAACCCTGGCACTGTAGAGACCCTGTAGTAACATCTTCATATCATAGATGGGGAAAAAACCGAGATTTGAAGAACTTAAGATACTTGCTGAGCAGGTAATGCACAGAAATTAAGTATCAGAAGCCGGGCAGTGGTGGTACACGCCTTTAATCGCAGCACTTGGGAGGCAGAGGCAGGTGCATCTCTGTGAGTTCGAGGCCAGCCTGGACTACAAGAGCTGCTTCCAGGACAAGCTCCAAAGCTACAGAGAAACCCTGTCTTGAAGAAAAAAAAATTAAGTATCAGAGCCAAGGTTTAAACACAGGTAGCCATGGTTCAGAGTTCAGAGCTGGACCCTGTAGAGAGGAGCAGAGAGGCCAAACATCCAAAGGACTGAGCAAGCTGAAGGGCTCAACACTCTAGAAGGTCTCAATGGTCCTAGAATATGAGGCTTTAGGCTCAGTCTTAGAGACCAATCCCTGAGTTAGCTTCAGGAAGCAACCCCAAGGGCTGGGGGGGGGGGGGGGATGGCTCAGAGGTTAAGAGCATTGCCTGCTCTTCCAAAGGTCCTGAGTTCAATTCCCAGCAACCACATGGTGACTCACAACCATCTGTAATGGGGTCTGGTGCCCTCTTCTGGCCTGTAGGAATACACACAGACAGAATATTGTATACATAATAAATAAATATTTTTAAAAAAGAGGCAGGCTCAGTAAACATAGGTTGAAGAAAGAAGTGAGAAAGAATGAATAACAGACTGAGAGGAGATAAAGCCAAGAGAAGGTGAGAGGCAAAATTCAAGGGCAGAGGGCGGGAGAGGAATACATGTCAGAGCTGGAAAACAAGGGGTGCAGGCCAGCAAGCAGGGTGCAAACTGGCTGGCCAGAAGTCAAAGCCCAACCGCGCCAGCTGACTTCCATACTCATGTGGTACCAGCAGCTAGTCTCGGGAAAGGATGCTGTGGGTGGACAAATGGGTATTCTATATTAAAATGCTTGTCTCTGAGGGACACAGAGAGAGGCAGTGATACCCACCGGTCTCTGGGCAGAATCCATACTTCTTATCTCGGTCATAGTCCTCAGTGGTGCCACACCAACGGTAGCCGTCTGTGCGGCCCTCGGTGGTACAGCTGTTGTAAGAAGTGCCCTGGAAGCGGAATGGGAACTTGCAGGGCTGTCCATCTCCATTGCCACCCATGGTAAACAAGGCTGGGGAGTAGAAGAGAGGGAGAAGACGCCATTGAGAGAGATATCGGCCTGGGTAGAGCTGGCTAGTCACCCACTTGCCGGCTCATGCAAGTTAAATTGTTGCTGTGTTAAAATATTAGTTGCAAACAATCTCTAGGCACTGGAGAGATGGCTCTGCGGTTAAGAGAACCCAAGTTTTGTTCCCAGAACCCAGGTCAGGCAGTTCACAACCATCTGTAACTCCAACTCCAGGGAATTTGATGCCTCTGACCTCAGAGGGCACCTACACTCATGTGTGCATACTCATACACACACGTCTATGCATAATTTATAGTGGTAAAAGATCACTCTAAAAAGCCAGTTTCTACTAATTAGTGATGATCTGCTCGGCTGAGAAAGCTCCCGTCCTTTCTAGACAGCTCCACTGCTGCTGTAGTCCCTGAAGGAGTGTGAGGAGAAAGAGACAGGGGCAGCTGGTGTCCAAGCCTCCCACGCCGATGACCCCAGGTAGGGCCAAGACTGGAGAACAGGGAGGGATGGGATCAAGCTCAGCCTGTCTGTCTTGGGCCCTCCCTCTCCCTCCCTCCCTCCACTCGAGTTACAAAATGGTGTCCCTGGAATTGCCAACAAGCAAAACCACAAGCGCATAACAAGGACCATCTGTGCACAGCAGTGCCAGAGGTGACCTCACCAGGCCTGTTAACTCTACCACAGGTTGAATGGAGTCCAACCCCTGGCCTCCCAGTGCAGAACTCTCTATCTTCCTCGTTCTGCTCATCCTAACCGAGACACCTTTCCCTGATGAAGCAGGAAGCGTGGTTCCTAGGGAAGAGGCCCTGGTGATTCAGAGTGGGTTAGGGCTACGTGATAACTCGGATCCCACCAGTTCTGTTCCTGCCACCCAGAAGTCCATCTCCTCTGGGATCAACCCTCCTCCCGAAGAGAAGGTCAGGGAGCAGACACTGAGTCAGCCATCAGGAGGGGCTGAGTAATCAGAATTGCTGCCCCAGGCCCAAGCACGTGTGCACTATGCGTACTTGCACCTGGCAAAGGACCAAAGGAATGGCTGGTGTCTGACACAGAGGGAGCCTTTCTGAGCTCACGAAGTGGGAGGCTGTGTCCTTATCTATCCACGAAGACTGTTCTAACAGAATGGCTGACTCAGGAGTTTCTGTCTTTCCTCGTGTCCTACTGGGAAATGCAAGACACAGACTTTTATTTCAAAATCTCTGATTTACTAACAGCCAACAGCTTGAGTCTTAGTACAAAGTTTAGCTTCCGTGACAAAAGCATAAACAGGCTGCGGGCAGAACTCAGTGTTGGAGGAGAACATGTCGAGCATGTGTGAGGTGGTGGGTTGTATCTTCCAGACAAAGAAAGAAGGAAAAAAAAAAAGATGTAAACAGGAAGACAACCAGAAACTCTGTTTCTTTCCTTCTGTCTAGATGGTTGGTGTTGGTGTCCCGTTGCAAGAGGGACAGGGAGAGCCACAAGCATATACAATTATATACAATTATAGCCCCTCCTCACCCCAAACAGACGGTCCTCAGTCTATGATCCGGGAAAGTCTTTATGGGCTGGGAAATAAGCTACTACTTAGAAGCATGTTTGTATTTTCTCCCGCTTTTCCAACATTTTCTGGACTTCTGATCTCTACAGCCATCAAGCGAGATGGCCTGGCCAAGTATGAGGTCATGCATATTCTTAAAAAGATTTATGATTAGAAAGCATATTCAGGATGTTTTCAAAGTTGATTGAGTGTGTATATTAATATCCTTCCCCTTTCCACACTTTTACCTCAAGCAATGGTAGATGGAGAAAAGAATATTTTGAGCTTGAATGAGCACTTGAGCATGTGTACACACACACACACACACACACACACACACACACAAATACGGAGTGGAGCTGGAGGCCTTTGTCATGACACAAGGATAGAAGGCAGAGTCCGATGTCATAGCTGTGACCACTTACACTGACTCTCGCTGGTACTGTGGGACCAGTGTGGGAAGGAAAGCTAATATTCTCAGACTGGAGCCCCTACTTCAACCAAGTACCAGCTTGGACCGAGCCCTGTCCCTTGCCACTATTCAGCTTCAATCCGTCTCTGTGCCTCAACTCTCCTCTCCAGTCCTCCTGCCCTCCTGTCCTCCTGTCCTTGAGCCCTGGGTCTTGTTGGGAGTGTACAGTGGCCCCAGAAACAATCATAGGGTCTGTGAACACATCTAAAGTTATTCGCATGTATGTTAGAACAAAATTAATATGCCCCAATTCATGATTTCACAAATAACACTGAGAAACTTAAAAACCTAAGGTGACTTAAGTAAATATGAAGTAAGTACATATAGTCATACACCACAAAAGTAACATTTGAGTCACAACAGACCACACATATAGTGGTGATCACATGTGACAGTGGTCCCATAAGGTCAGACTGGCTGGTAACTCTGTATTCGTCTCAGCTTGTGTAAGGATGCCGTGTTCACATGGTGATGATGAACCTGGACAACTGTGCAATTCTTAGAACTTGTGCCTGACATTAAGCAATATATGTTATAACCGTAGAGGAGGGCCCCAGCGATGGCTGACCTCAGGATAAGGGATGAAGGTTAACCAGTTGTGGAATGTGGAAGAGGAAGGCATAGCAGGAACACATGTAGGCTGGGGGCCAGGGTAGGATGAGGGTTGAGGCCAGGGCAGACACTCACCTTCATGGGGGCAGAAACCGTACTTGCCATCCTTCTCAAAGTTGTAGGTGGTGGAGCACCAGAGGAAGCCGTCGGTGCGGCCAGTGTCAGTGCAGCTGTTGTATTCCCGGCCATTAAACAAGAAGGGGAACTTGCAGTACTCGCCGTCAGCATTCCCATACTTGACCCGGACCACTGCAGGGCACACAGAGCGGGAAACCTAGGACTCCAGGGCTTCCATCAGACACTAGGCTGTGGGCTCACTCTGGAGGCTACCTTCCCTCCCCCTCTTTTCCTCCTCATCCCATCACAGACGATGAAGGCCTTAAGGTTGGTTTTGCTTGCTAGGGGACCGGGAAGCATCCCAGGGGGAGGTCGTCTTACCTTGCCCTTCCCCCAGAGTCCACAGCTCATCATCATCAAAGTGAGAGTCTCCACCAACCCCAGTGCCGGGGGCGAAAGCATGCGCCAGGAGTCCATCCTTGCCATCAAACGGGTATCCATCTCCATGTTCTGAAACCCACACTGGCTGTTAGCTTTTGGCGTCTCCCCCACCCCAACAGCTTGGTCCTTAAGTCTAGCTACCCCCTCATCTGTGTTTGGAATGCCTCGCTCCGCTGAGCACCTGTCCGCTACCCTTTCCCCATTGGGGTTATCGAGGATAGGTGTTGCAGGGAGTTGACGGGAAGGCTCTAGCTTGGTTGCGACCATGCGGTGGACCACGTGACTCTCAAGCCCACAGGGTGCCCTCACCTGCACCACTGACTTTTGCTTCCATCGTTATCAACAGCACTGGGTTCGCCCATGTGCTTCCAGTGCCAAAAGAGCATGCTAACCACATATCCTCCTGACACCCATGCCTCCCAGCAGCACCATCTTCCTTGCCATGCCCTACTCTCACAGTAGACTGTCATCACTACCCAGGGAGCTAGACCTCAGGCCCACGGTGACAGCATGCTCACCTTCCTCCCAAGCCAATGCTCTTCTTCCCCCACCCTCCACCTTCATTGCTTTACCACCTTGTACCTACATCAGCAGCCTTCATATTTATGCTGCAGCCGGTTCAAGCCAACAGCTTAGATGGTGATTTGACCCAAGATTCTATTTCACCTTCTCCCATATTGCTATTGTGAGAACTGAATTTTAATTAAAAAGCCTTTTGTATGACTTTAAATCCAAGTTGTCATTTAGGGGCTGTCATTTAAAGGGTGCAGTAGGTTTTCACTGCATGAAGGGTCGGTACACTGCGGGGCAGCCTCTGTTCTATAGTCATGACTCTCCAGTGTCGGGGCCGTGTTCTGGCACTTCCAACTAACTCACATTCAGTGTCTGCACCTTCTTGGTAAATTGCCCTCCGGATCCCCGCATGTCTCAGATGTCTACAGGGCCCCGCTGCAACACCCTTCAGTTCCCCTCTGCCTACCCCAGCGGCCAAAGTTGATCATGATGTCAGCTTCCCCATCGTGGATACGAGTGAAGCGCAGTGGAGTTACGTCACTCCATACTTGTAAGGCCCGAGCAAAGGCATCATCCACTGTCTCAGGATCCAGGTCAGGTGTGTAACCAATGATCCTAGAAAGGGTAGAAATGCATACGAGTGTGCACATGTCCATTTGTACAACTGGCTATGTGCACAGTGTGTGGATGTGAAATGTCCTTGCACATATGTGTTGAGCAAAGCTAAGTACATCCTCCTACAGTTATTGATCTTTCCAGAATCCCAGACCTCCTCAGCTCTCACTTCTGTCTGGGACAAGGACACCGGGAACACAAACAGTGCAATATTGGACAAAAGGCAGAGCTCTCCCCTTTGATAAATGCCAGCCACACAGAGGGGAGCTCTTAGCTCTATTAGCAACAAATCACAACAAAACTATAACATTAAGGGCTTGAGAGATGCCTCAGAGGTTAAGAGCACTGGCTGTTCTTCTGGAGGTCCTGAGTTCAATTCCCAGCAACCACATGGTGCCTCACAACCATCTATAATGAGATCTGGTGCCCTCTTCTGGTATGTAGGTATACATGCAGGCAGAACACGATACACAAAATAAATCTTTAAAAAAAAAACCTATAATACTAAAACCACAATCAGCTGCTTATCAAGTTCCTCTACCTACTCTAATGATCCAAATGATAATAACAATCACCAACACTTATTAGATGCTTGCTCTGTAACAAACTTTATGGAAGCCCTTGATTTTACTTGTAATCTAATTTAGGTTCCCAATCATCCCTTTAGGAAAGGGATTTCTTAGTCTTGTTTCATAACCAAGGATACCAACTCCAAATGTGGGAGAACAAGACCAGTGCCCCGTGGTTAGTGAGTATGAGACTCAAGTCTAGGTCTACCTGGCTCCACTCACCAAGAACTCTATTATGTCCCTGAATGCCCAAATCTCAGTAATGACACTTTGTGGGAATCCCTGAACTAGAAAGGCAAATCCCAAGGAGACTCACATCCCTCAGGCTGCTGACCCCGCATTCCCAGCCTCTCCCTGGCACCTGTATGTGATCTGGTTCTTGTCCCACTTGGGCTTTCGGGGAAAGAAGTTGTAGTTGGCCACATCCGGGTTGCCGCAGCGCGGCTTCCGCATGGTCTCGATGGTGTTCTGGTCCAGGTCACCTGTCTGGGGCAGCCCAAAGAACTTCTGCATCTTCTTGAGGGTGTCCTTCAGCACAAAGAGGTTGCAACTTTCCTTGGGGCAGCCATAGAAAGTATTCAGGTATTGCTGAAAGAGACAGGTAGTCTCAAGGTCAGGAACCACATTGAGATGGCAAAGCACACAGCCCCAACAACTCCCCAAATACCCCCTATGGGACAGGATGGAATCAAAGAGTTCAAGGACACTGAGTGAAGTCTTAGGCTTTCAAATATGTTTTGTCACCCACCAACTGGGTGGTGCATTTATAAATGGAATAGCTACCACCTTTCACTTTCCTTTATTTATTATATGTTAATTTATGTACCACTCAGTATACATAAGGCAGCTTAAGGGACTTGCTGAAGTTGAAACCACTCACAGATGTCAGATCTGGATTTGACTCCAAGCAGTCATGCTTCAGAGCCCATGCTTGAACCCTGATACTCCAGCATCTATCTTACTGAACCTCCCAACAGAC